TCCAGGGTTTTTAAAACTTCACAACAGCATGTGTCAAGTTGCTGTGTGGCAGCTGTAAAAAGTTGCCCCGTACTTCACTTCAGTTTTGTTATTTTATTTTCTGGTCCTTTTGGATCATTGATGCCAGCACTATTAAGTGTTGAAAACTGAGTTACGCTCAAGCCGTTGCTATGGGGCATGAGGAATGTTGCACTTAATCATTTTCCCTCATGTACAGACTCAATCAAACCGAGTTTGCAATTTTCATATTATATTGTTGTGATTAATGCTACCGAGGGATCACTTTGTTTCAAGATTTTTATCAGACAGTACACTAGACAAAAATGTTAATGTCTCCCCTTCTCTAACCATCCATTGTTTCTACACTGAAACTTTATTTTTCTCATTTTCAAAGGATGAACATAATCTTTCTTCTCCACTGACAAATAAGTACGTACAAATGTGGTATGTACGAATACAATCCCAAATTGTTAATATATAATGGATTAAAACCATTATTGTTATAGACATTCAGTTGTACAAAATTCAAATCTAAAATGACAAATGTTGCCATACACGTACAGTTGTTCAAAATTAAAAGCTTAAACAAATAATGTTGTTGTTACGGACATACAGATGCATAAAATTTTAATCTTAAATGAATGATGGTATTGTTATGGACATAACGTTGTACAAAAGTCAAAGCTTAAAGTAATATTATGTGGGTTTTAGGTTTTTTTAACCACAACCTACAAAATTTCTAAAACGAATCCTTTACAGCTTCCAGTTTTGCAACTGTCGATATCTGTTTATATCAGGATGAAGATGTAAAGTTATTTAGTCGACAGTATCAAACCTGGTCAGTATGCAAAGATGTGCAGGCTAGCGAAGCTATATACATGCAATAATTTTAGCAGGGTAATGGTGAGGTAAAAAATCTAAAGTTGTGTCAAAGTTCTTTTTATTTGACATTCATAATGAAAACATATAGAAATATCTGATTATATTCTTATTGGTCAACTGTATATTCATACGTCAATCATGTCAGCATCAGCTGTAGCTCCGCCCAACCAAAGATATTAGTAGTAGAACATATCCCGGAATATCCATGGAAACAGTCTCAGCAAAGTTTAATCATGTCGGTATTTTTGAAGCTGCGCCCCCCATAATGAAACCAGTAAAAGCGTGCGGCCTCCTTGTAAGAGATGTTTAGTAAACAGCTTCTGCTTCTTTTTTATAATATTTGCGTTTATTATACAAAATATTAATGACCACAGACTTCACAAATCAGTCATGTTTTTGTCGGTAGCTACTGCAGGCAACTGAGATATAAATGAAAACCATTGTGCGCATACGATCTATACATCTATACGTGGTATTAGAAGAAAATCATATGTACAAACTTGACAAATAAATTAAACATACCCAAAATCCATGTGGTGAAGTAGCTTTTCGTAGAAATTTTTTCATTGACAGTACGTCATGTTAATATATTAAATTTTCAGTAAGGGTACATATATAAAATAATGGAAGGCGAGTGTGCGAAATTCATCAGATGACCATCGGTAAGTGCAATAACTCATTTAAGTAGGGTTGTTTAATAAGAAATTGTCCTTACGACAATATAACCAAATGTACCAAAAATCCCTAAGTACCGTTCGTTGACAATTTGCATTGACACTACGTGATGTTAATATTGAACTTTAACAATTTGGGTATATAAATAGTGTACAAAATCTATCAGAAACCATTACAAACCATTACAAAGTACTATAACTCAGATAAGTTTAATTTTTGGTACCGAAAATAATATCGATGTATGTACAAAAGTCAAAGCTTTAATAGATAATGTTATTATTGAGACACGATTGCACAAAACTCAAAGCTAAATGGCACATCATGCCTCTAAAATCAATATATTTTTTTAATTCTTTAGATAGGTGTTATATGTGTTTTGTAATATTTTGATAATGATTTTATAGCGTCATTTTACAAGGGCAGAAAGTGGTGATAAATGTGCAGTACTGTGTTGTAAAGTACGACAGTGTAAACAGTGGTATGTTGACTTCTTTACAAAATTCTGATAATAACATCTGTTAAAGATCAAAAGAAAAGAAATATATTTAATCATATAGTCAATGAGTACTTTTGGAAAAAAAAGATACCAAAAATAAAAAGGTTTTGAAAAATTTAAATGATTGAATTTCATTGGTTTTTAATGGGCCGTTTAATGAATAATGCTGTTGTTATTGACATACTGTATTAACAACTTTAACGTTTAAGCGAATTATGTTGTTGTTATGAACATTCTCTGGTACATTAGTACTATGCTTAAATCTTTTTTAAATATTGATGAGTGCTACATAGCCTTTTTGTAAGTATTAAACAAACTTTTTTTTTCAATCTACATGAAGTAGAAATGATATATTTAAAATATTACGCACTATAGATGGTTAGAATATGAATATATAGTGTCATTTTATATCCTTTATGGTTTAATTAAGGTTGTATCAACACCTAAGTGAAATTTTATATATAAATATAATTATTCTTCTAAATCAATTTCTAAACATCCAAGAATATGTTAAATATGTACTGCAAATCTTTATTCGCATTATAAGTAATCATTAAATTATATGCATTCATTTCTTATTGAAAAAATTCAGCTTAGACTTTATTAAAATAAATTCATAATTACCTCCATTTACTGACATGAAATGTTAATTCGGTCATATCATTACAAATAATGCTTTTTGGAACTTACAATATTGATTAACCTTCCTTTAAGCATCATATTTATTATATGTATATAAAACCATAAAGAAATTGAGTTACAGGATCTTTAAAAAAAACTGGCAGTTTTTTATGAAAGACCAACACAGCTTCTCTTACATCATGTACATAGTTTATAGATTCAAATGAATTTCTGTGATTAAATTATATTACTGCTAAATCTATGAATAATGTTGTTGTTATGGGAATATAGTTGCACAAAAGTCAGAGCAAAATTATTGACACAGAACCCGAGCTTAAAAAAAATCACTACAGGAATGTTGGATTAATTGATTCAAAGTAAAAGAAAACTGTAGATTTTCTCATAAAACCAGTATTGTTTTTACTTTCCCTATTATCGGACTAATGTAAGGCATTTGGTCTATACGAATCTTATGTCCGTTGGTTTTCTTCTAACTTGCCTGAAAGTGTCATTTTGATGCTTTAACTGTTTGGTTTCATTCTGCATCGCAATCTTTCAAAAACTTATAGAACAAATCGTCGATCTAAAAACAGCGATCATGAGACGCCGGCCTCTTTCGGCAATTATGGGATAGAGCTTTAGACCTTATATGGCTCTAAAGGAGAACATTATTATACGCTAATGCAATGGCTAATCTGCAACGGCATTATAAAATGATGTAATAGCGATTGACTCATGAAAATAGTTATTTTTACGAAGTTTATTTAGACTTTATATGCATAAAGAGCAAATCGTCGATCCAAAACCCGGACATGCCACGCAGGCCTCACGGGACATTTTATCTTGTATTAGAGTTTTGGGTCTTAAATTGCTATTAAGGAGAACCTCCAAACGAATGTAATGTCTTTTTCGCACCGGAATCAGTCAAATGGTGTCGTAACGGTTACAATGCTTCGTTTCACAAAAATGTCCCTAGAATTACAGCCTTGTGCCCTATATTGTTATTAATAAAATGCAACGGCTAATCTTTAACGAAATCGACAAATAATGTTAAAGCAATTAGCTCCAGAATTTATTTTTAAAAAATACGAAACTTCTTAGACATTATATTCAGACAGACAACATCTCTAATCCAAAAAGCGACGATATCATCCGCACATCTTGCTGCCATTATCCATAAGTAGGGGTTTTGGGTATCATATTGTAATAAGAAAATCCTCCAAACCATGCACTTGCTAATCCGCAACGGCATCAAGCAAATTGTGTCGTAACGGTTGGCTCTGATATTTTTATGTTCGTAGAAGGATGAGCATTATTAACACTTTAAAAACATAAGCTCCAACAAAAGGAATATGAGAGGCCCAACTGGCAGATCGCTTTTTAGATCGGCGATTTTTATTCTGTATATAACGTCTAATAATATTAGTAAGCATCAATTTCTGGAGCCAATTGTTACAACATTTGTCTGATTTCATTGCTGGTTAGCTGTTGAAGATTCGTTATGAGGTTGTTATTTATAGCAATATAAGGTCCATAGCTGTAATCCAAAGGTTCTGGGCACGAGTGCCCCGCGTGTCATTGTCGCGCTTTGGATTTGCGTTTTTAATTGTTTTTATAGAGTTTCCAACAAAGTACGGTGCGAAACATAACTGTAACGGATATTGTCCGCCAACTTTATAAGTACAAAATAATTCCAGTTCAATCGACTCTGTAAGTGAATATATTTTTGAAGATGTACATAAAAATATTTGTCATAAATTGTTAACTGTGTAAGGAAATAAAATTCAGCATTTTATTTAAAGGGAGTCAACTGAGGCTTTTTGAGATGATGGGACTGAAAATATATTTTCCAGATAAATGTACCATATGATGTAGGTTTAGACCACAAATCTTTGTGCAAAAGTTCAGATCATTCGCGCACTTCGTTTTTCCAGAATAATTATTCAAATTGTAAAAAAAGACCCAAAATGAATAGCGTTTAAACGCTCAAATAGGGCTAAGAAAAGCATAAAAATATAATTTTCAATTTATTTCAAAGTATATTTCATAAGTATCTTTGCATATATTTCTGTTTAAAGTGCACTAGCTCATTCGTGTAAGAAATTAAAATGTTATGTTTTTAGGCTTTTAAACCTCAATGCAATCCCTTTAAATATTAATTGATATTGTTGACCAGTATTATCAATTTAAACATATAAATTTTGTGATTAGACACAAAAAGTATATGCTATATTGCAGGTGAAAATTGAGACATAATAAAAAAAACACGTTCACAGATAAAGAATTGTATTACTGTAGCAGAGTAGCATTCGGGAAATATTGACTTAATTCAAATACTATTAGCATAAAACACTAAGTAGCTTAACGTATTGATGAGAATCTAAATTGAACTTTAGAAAAAGGATTTGAAATGAATTTTAATAATAATGTGTCATCATCAGTTCAGATAATGAATACTCATTCTTAAATTATACAAGAAAATGAATACACATTCTTAAACATCAGAAAATTAATACACATTCTTAACTATCTGGAAATGAATACACATTCTTTGATTTTTGGTGGTTTTTTTCAAACATTTTTTTGTCAAAACAGCATCACATTATAAAAATGTACACCAATCATTCGTCTTGAATAAAATGATAAATAATATTTGCCTACACCACCTTGTGCAATAAAGAAAATGAAACAGCAAATATACTAGTCCTCTGGAAATAAAATTACTGTCAGACACGAAAATAACACACTATCTATCACTTGAATATATCTACACCTAACTATTGCTTCAACATTATTGAGAATATGCAATTCATTTACTTCATTTAAAATATGAAAATATACTAACTGTAAAAAATGAATTGTGTTCATGTTAAAAGAATGACTTCATATCATCAAAATGTTAACATCTACAAGACCATCAAAATGTTCAAAAAGGTGTATGTACATAAAACCTTTACATGTTAAGCAAGTTTAATTCCTCTCTTTAGTCTCTGTATTAACAAAAAAGTGACAGTCAAACGAAATACTGATAAAGGAAATGAAACGAACAGAGAACATTGATTACAGAATTGTGCCAAAGCTGTTTTGGTGTACATTACAGAATCAAACAATTTGTCAGTTTTTAAATTGTTAAAATCTTCTATCTAAAATCATTTATTTATTTATATATTATTCATTATGTACACAATAGGCTATGGAGAAAATAACAGCGATTATAAAAACTCTACTTTATCTTTAAAACTATCAAGCTATCAAAAAAGAAAGTAATTTGCACTGAACCTTATATTTTTATGCAAAAGCAATCCCTATCAATATGTCATAATGTTTGGCATTTAGGCAACAATGTCAAAATTGGATGTCGTCACTGAAACAAATTAGGGTGAAGTGTGTTCATATTTGAAAAAATAAATGTTTCATTTTACATTATAGAAAACAATAAAAGTAATGAGAGCTGATTCCAATTGGTGCCCAATTGGGTCTGCAAACCATAATTTAAGATAAAGAATGGTAGTAAATGTGCTCATAGATCTATAAAAATGACACTTGTTAGCCATGTTATACAAAGCAACATATGGTCCCCAAGTAAAAGAAAGCATGTGCTTGGCTAATTAACATAAACCGTCGTTTCATGTTCACCGAGGATCTCATTTTATTTGTAAGAAATATGAACATAATTCATAAACTTGGAATATGTTTCTAAGACGATAAACGCGATCATAATATAAATAAATGCAAGCATATCATTTGTTTCAGAAATTGTATTGCTACTGTAAACCTATCGGCAGATAACCAGAATCATTCTATTTATATAAAGTACATAATACTTTTATGAATATTCAATCAAGTATTCAGGGTACGCTTGCGTATCATGAAAGATCACATATATGCTTGGTTTTTTGCTTAAATCGGCTGCACTATCGTAACATACGGGAAAATTACTGGACTTAATATCTGGTCTCTCAGGAAGGAATGCCATGTCCCCGTGTCCAACACAAGAAACGCCAACAAGCACTCTGTTTAAAAACATTCGTTTGACACCATTCACATCCGGTTTAGCGTAGCTATCTCTGTCGGAATATGATGATTGTACAGCGAAGTATGCACCCTTTCCATACATATGTGCTGAAAATAGCATTATAAACACGTTCAATAAACAAATGAAATTGTTTTAAAGGCGTGTGCTAGGATTACATAATGATTAAAATATTCACAAACCCACACAGTTTATCAAAACATGTTTCGCTTAATAAAGCTTCATCAGTTGAAATCCTGATTACATAAAAACAGAGAAAACAGAAACCATAAAGAAAGTCTAACACGGCAAAATTGAAAATGTTGCATGCTCGGTTTGATGGACGATAGTGGTTATTGCAAGATAGCTTCCACTCCCATAGCACTGGGATGGAAAAGAGGCCGGTCGTACTTATTTCCATAGCTTCCTCGGAAGCAATTTGGCTTCTTTTGGAATTCAACTTGAAGTCAAGTAATTCATAGCTATCACAGCTTCCACAAAGACATCATGTTCCTAAGGATAGATCTTGATATAAATGTCATATATTAAGATGAATAAACTTATCCAACTGAATACTTGGCATTGTTTAGATGTATCTTTCAAATAAAATCTGTATATTTCTTTAAGGTATATCATGGCTAATGGGCAGTATAAGGAACTGTTAAATTGACAACATAGGACAGTTATATGCCTTAAAGGTGATCTGTATGCAAAATTTAAATACAATTTACCGTGTGGTTTATGAGTTATGGATATATTTCTGAACCTAAACTTTGCCATAAGAAGGGCTTGTCTTCAGAAATGAGGAAAATCAAAATAATCTATAATATCATCATTATGAAAAATGTTTTCCTAATAATAATAAACAAATAATAACATTAAGGTAACAAATTACACCAGCAAAATGATTGTTTATTAACAAAATGTTTTAATATGTATAAAATATTACCCTATCCCACCCATTTTAAACACTTATTGGACCATTCCCTATATCCCATAAAATTTACCACAATGAGAGGCTGTTTTCAAAGTTTGCATCAACTTTCTTTTAAGTATATTGGTTGATCATGCGAAATAAAAAATACCTTTACAGTGTAGTTTTTATTTCATTAAGCTTTAAAAATATCTGGTATCATATTTGCCATAAAATTCGGTATTTTTTAGCAAATAAATACATACAATAATTATATAATTAAAGTCAAATCAAACCACTTTCTTCTTCTATAAGGGATCTGAGAGATACATAAATAATGTTTAAAAGAAAAAAGAAAAGAAAAAAAAATGCCCTTTGGGTTTGAACCCACGCCCCTCTATTTCAATGCATCTCGCCTATTTAAATACTCTTCAAAGTGGAGGTAATGCATTAGCAATGGTCTACAATATTCAAAGAAATTTCTTATTTTAAATATTGGATAAAGAACAATCGTAAATAATCATGTAACATAACAAATTGTACAAAAAAATTAATGTATTTTTCATTAATCAAATGCGAATGGACGACTTGTTTAAAAAGTTTGCTATAAACGCGTGGTAAGTCATGCCAATAGTATCACATTTGACGGAATTGTCCCTATAAGTCTTTGGCTGGCACTATTCTAAAAGTTACATAAACTGAAATGGAAGTGTTGCTTTTAAAGTGCAATGTCTTTTTTTCAGAAACCAATATACAACATTTGAAGATTTCGTATTTTTATGAGAAAGACAAATCGTGAGCAAACTGATAAAAATATTTGATAAAATATATGTAACGTTTCAAAGACAAAGGAAAGAATATCCAAATAAGATGGCATTCCAGGAAATCCATTGTTTAAAGTATGATCATCCTAATGCATTACCTTCCCTTTTTTAGAGTATCTAAATAGGCTACAAATACTATCAACTGCATTGAAACGGAAGGGTGTGACTTTAACCCCAGTAGGGTAAACTTTTTTCTTTCTTGTAAATTTTATGTTGTTTTTTGTTTGATTGTTTGTTTGTTTTTTCTTTGTTTGTTTGTATGTTGTTTTTGTTGTTGTTTTTTTTTTAAGAAAATTGTGTTTAATTTTTATCATCTATTTTATTTATTGGCTATATAATGCAAGATTTATTTAGAGATTTTGTACCTGATATTTTCTAAATCTAATAGAAGGTAAAACTAATTGACGATCTGAGAGTTACAAACAGCCTCTCAATTGGGTCAATTTTAGGGATTTTTCAAATTAGGAGCCCTAAGTATTACTCGTTTACGGAACCAATAGTCCAATAATCTAGAATGTTGAAAGCATATAGACATGAGAACATAGCTTAAAACAAAGTTGATCTGCTTCCCAATATATAAATTCTCAACTTGATTTACTTGAAGAGGCTGTAATTCATACAAAATACTGGGAATACCAAAGCGTATGACTAAAAGAAGGACACATACCTGTAGTAAAGCTACGGTTGTATCCATGTTTGAATATTTTTGGAACAGTATCAACGTCAGTCCCATGCCAGAGCTGTCTTTCGTTTTGTATGTTAAGGTTCTGAGATTCAATCTGTTTCTTTTTTGTTTGGTATTGTTGCCACAAATATTTATTCTCCAATCTGGATATCTAAAGGTAGATTTTAAAAAAGCTAAATGTGTGTATCAAAGGGTAACATATATTTTTTTGAATATTTAAACTAAAGTAAAATCAAATATCTATTACATGCATTTCTGTAAAACACTTCAGAATTCAAAATTTATAAGTTGAAAATTGGTAATATTTTTGTATGAACACTTGTTTTGCTGATTAGATACATTATATCATGAAAAATTCTTGATGAGTAGATATAATTCATTTCAACTTGCGTATACAGATGTAATAATATCTGGAAAAAAGTGACCCCCCTGAAGCATTAAAACCAGCAAAATTTCATGACAACTGCAGACTAGGATTGATTGAGTAAGTTCATGAGGGATAATGAAAAGGTACAACATCCCTCACATTCCCTATCACCGGCTTGAGCGGTACTCAATTCTCAACACTGAACAGTTCTGGAGTCAAAGATCCCGAAGGTTCAGAAAAAATATAACAGCACTAAAGTGAAGTACAGGGTAACATTTTATGGCTGCAACACAGCACTTGACACTGCTATTGTGATGTATAAAAATCTGGAAAAAAAGTGATCCCTCGGAAGCATTAAAAAACAGCAAAATTACAAGAAAATTGCAGACTCGGTTTGATTGAATCTTTACATGAGGGATAATGTAAAAGCGCAACATCCCTCACGGTCCCTAGTACCGGCTTGAGCGGTTCTCAATTCTCAACACTTAAAAGTGCTGGAGTCGTTGATCCCGAAGGACCAGAAAATATAACAACACTGAAGAGTTTTATGGGCAACTTTTTACGGCTGCCACACAGCGCTTAACACCTGCTGTTGTGATGTATTAATAACTGGACAGAGTGATCCCTCTGAAGCATTTAAAACAGCAAAATTACATGAAAATTGCAGACTCGGTTTGAAAAAGTGCAGTTTTTTGTTTGGTGCCTTCTGGGTGCCCTGCTTGGATGTGTCGGGGACTGCGTCCTGTGAACGTTGCCTTTACCTTGTTGGTCTTTATTCTTGTTTTTTTTTTAATCTATTATTGTTATGTTATATTACCTCTATATAAGTATACCGATACAAAGCCGGTTTTATAATCGAAACTTTAGAAATAACATATGGTAATCTGTTTTTGTTTTTTACCCTTGTTACTGTGGGTTTTTTTAATTGTCGGCTCATCATTTGCGATGCAGTGTTGATTTTTTTTGTCCAAAAAACAAACAATTTTGAGCTTTAACTAGTTTGGTTATCTAATTATCCATAGTTTTTTTTAATTGAGGCATGTATGACAACATAAAAATAACTTACGCTTACGATCTGTTTCGGTTTACATCCTCCCTTGATGAATTTGTTTTTTACATCATTAAATTCAGCATCATTCTCCTTTAGTTTAATTTGTTCCATTTTTTTATTTTCGTCGAGTGCAATCGTCCAATTGTCAGGCAAGGGAATGTCTGGAAACAAACAAAGTCCAACGACAAGTGATATAGGAATACAAAATTAACAACACATGAGAGTTCCTGAAGCTCTAAATACAAACATAATGAACGATTAAGATTATTTACGAATATTGGTGAGGCATTCCGGTAAATTACATCAAACATATTTCAACTTTTTTAAAAATAAGTATAAAGAACATATAAACGGACCATTTCATTTCAAGAAAAACTAGAACTATCACTAAATGTGATTAATACCCTCAATATACTTGACCATAGTATGAAATAGTTTTGAATTCCAACTAGTAGTTTTCAAGTTATGCTCTGGACAAGGAAAAGTAACAAAGGGCAGTAACTCTGTAATTATTCAAAATGGAGTTATGGTTCTTGTGCACTGCACTTTCTCTTATTGTGCTTGACCATTGTATGAAGTTGTTTTAAATTCCAACCAGTATGTTTAAAGTTATGCTCCAGACAAGGAAAAGTATCAAAGGGCAATAACTCTGTAATTTGTCAAAATGGAGTTATAATTCTTGTGCACTGCATTTCCTCTTAAGTGCTTGACAACTGCATGAAGTTGTTTTGAATTCCAACCAGTAGTTTTCAAGTTATGCTCCGGACAAGGAAAAGTAACAAAGGGCAGTAACTCTGTAATTAGTCAAAATGGAGTTATGGTTCTTGTGCACTGCACTTTCTCTCAATGTGCTTGACCATTGTATGAAGTTATATTTAATTCCAACAATTAGTCTTCAAGTTTGAGTCCGGACAAAAGAAAGCAATGGAAAAATAACAAAGGGCAATAACTCTGTAATTAGTCAAAATGGAGTTATGGTTCTTGTGCACTGCACTTCCCCTTATTATGCTGGACAATTGTATGAAGTTGTTTCGAGATTCAACCAGTAGTTTTCAAGTTATGCTCCGGACAAGGAAAAGTAACAAAGGGCAGTAACTCTGTAATTAGTCAAAATGGAGTTATGGTTCTTGTACAATGCACTTCCTCTCAATGTGCTTAACAATTGTATGAAATTATTGAATTCCAACTATTAGTCTTCAAGTAATAGTCCGGACAAAAGAAAGCAATGGGAAAATAACAAAGGGCAATAACTCTGTTATTACTTTAGATAGAGTTATGGTTATTGTGCACTGCACTTCCCCTTATTGTGCTTGACAATTGTATGAAGTTGTTTCGAGTTCCAAACAGTAGTTTTCAAGTTATGCTCCGGACAAGGAAAAGTAACAAAGGGCAAGAACTCTGTAATAAGTCAAGATGGAGTTATGGTTCTTGTGCACTGCACTTCCTCTCAATGTGCTTGACCATTGTATGAAGTTATATTGAATTCCAACCATTAGTCTTCAAGTTATGCTCCGGACAAGGAAAATGCAACGGACCGCTGGACCGACCGACCGACCAACCGACCGACCGACCAACCGACCGACCACCGGGTGACTCCTATATACCCCCCCCCCCAAACTTCGTTTTTGGGGGTATATAATAAGAAAGAAAGTGCGTAATATCATTGTTTACTTCACATAACAAGAAGACAGCGCTTAGAAATCTATGTTTTTTAAAATAAATATTGTATAAGAACAATCAAATGATAAATTTATATTGTCTTTATTAATACTTGAAATGATAATTGGAAAAAGTGCAAACGTTAATTTGTTACTTTAAATAGTGTCTTACTTAATTTGCATGATTTTTTTATTCCCAATACTCTCCAGGATTATCAATATGATTTGACTGTGTTTTTCTTTTTCTATACAAACAATAATTTATTTTTATTGTAATAAATTGAAATGACCTACATATATGAGATCTATGTTATACATAATTCCAGTGTTTGGCACCGGTTCCAAGGAAATGTTGACGTAAAGTAACTTTATAAGTTGTTCTATTGTGTAAACCAGGTCAACAAGTGACCATCAGTTGTCCATGTGTAGCAATAGGGGCATTGCACTTCTTGATGTACTTAGTAAAGTGTATATTACAATTGTTACTAAACGGCTTACTTTTTACGCCGAAGCTTTTAATAAACTTTCTGAATCCCAAGCAGGATTCAGAGCTGTATATAGTACTATTGATAACGCATTTGTATTGCAATCAATTGTCTCTAGGTATTTTAATATGAAACGTCGATTTTTATATGTAGCCTTTATAGATTTTCAGAAGGCTTTTGATTCCGTGGACCACACAATATTATACGATATTTTGAGAAGAGATGGAGTTAAGGGTAAATTGTATAATACAATTCAAAGTATATACTTTTCTGTTAAATCATGTGTACGTTCAAATGGGAATCTTTCAAATATTTTTGAATGTCCAATAGGACTTCGTCAAGGTTGTAGTTTGAGTCCAATTTTGTTTGCTTTGTTTATTAATGAATTGTATATTTTAATGGTGGAAAATGATATCAGAGGTATCCAACTTTTTCCTGATATTGTTGAAGTATTTTTACTTATGTTTGCTGATGATATAGCATTACTTTCAGATAATATTATCGGTCTACAAAAACAACTAAACTTGTTACAACAATTTTGCATTAGTAGTAAACTTGTAGTTAATATTGAAAAAACTAAAGTACTTGTATTTAAAAGAGGTGGTCAGTTATCTAGAAGAGAAAAATGGCAGTATAATGGTAACCAATTAGAAATTGTTAGTGGTTTCACATATGTTGGAATATATTTTATTAACAGATTATCTTTGTACAAAATGGCTGAGGCTTTGGCCACAAAAGCGAAAAAAGTACTTTTGTATATTCTCAGTTCATTTCAACATATTTCTTGTTTACCACATAAAACATTTTTTAAGATTTTTGATTGTAAAGTAGCATCCATAATGTTATATGGATCAGAATTGTGGGGTCTTTAAGACAATAAATGTATAGAAACTATACAATTATATGCTTGTTAACGTTTTTTGAATGTCAATGTTTCTGCTTGTAATGAAGCTATTCTTGGCGATCTAGGCAGATACCCTATGTATATATTTGCTGCAAAACGTTGTATTAGATTTTGGTTGAGACTTATAAATCTCCCTAGAGATAGATATACACGCTTATGTTATGAAATGCTGATGTATTATGACAGTATTGGATACAAAAATTGGGTGACTGATATACGATTAAACCTATATAAAAATGGATTTGGATACGTATGGGAGTCACAGGTTGTAGCCAATCCTAAATTATTTATAGTGCAATATGAACAGCGTCTAAAAGACCAGTTTGTGCAAAATTGGCAATTAAAGTGTCTAGAAAATGTAAAATTAAATCATTATGCTATGTTTAAGACTACCTTTAAAAGTGAAAAATATATTTCTGTTATAGATATTGACAAGTATAGAAAATGTTTTTCTAGTTTTAGAAGCTCTTCACATTGTTTAATGGTTGAAAAGGGTAGACATTTTAATATTGATAGAGAACATCGTGATTGTATGTATTGTGAATCAATGTTAGAGGACGAATATCACTTTCTTATTGTGTGTTCTTTATATGCAAATTTACGTTCTTACTATATACCATTGTATCATTATCAATATCCGAATGTTCAAAAGTTCTACTCTTTGATGGCAACTGAAGACGAGTCATTGATACGTAATGTTGCTATGTATATTTATTATGCAATGAAAGAAAGGGATAATTTCCTTAAATGTTTTGAATAATTTATATTCAGATTGTACTTTATAATTGTATTAGAAATTCGTATTGCCAATTTGTATTGTATATTGTTTACACTGTGTATGGGCCGGAGGCCTCTTGTACAATAAAGATATTGAATTAAATTGAATTGTAGCAAGTGAATGGCCGGTCAGAAAATTTGCATAAAACTATAAACACTGGAATGGTTTTGTTCATGTCCTTTTATCCTTATTTATATGTAGATTTGTACTTTTTGTTCTTCATTTGAACTTACTTTCATCAACCTTTGTCCTAAGATAAAGGCGCCTTTTCTTCTTCGGGTCATCTATTGGGTGTTCCATTAAATCATTGATAATCACTTTGTACGTTTTATTCTCTGTTTGGTTCTCATAGGTGAAATCGTTGCCATTGCCATGGAGATAGTTCATGTGTATCTCGTAATTATCCGTGACATCAACAGGGTGAGAATTTCCATCAGCTGCATTTGAAATATGAAAATGAATTAAATCTGTCATGCGTTACACACAATAAAGACATAAAATTTGCATTGATCATGACATGTGTCATATAAACGTATACTTTGCCTGTTTGTTAGATTATAAGTCAAGCCGACACTGTCAAAATCATATGGCGACTGTTCAGCTTTACTGGTGGAGGAGAGCCCCAGGTGTTCTTTCGTGCATGTTTTAGACTGATAAACACTGACAACGCTTCATATGCTCCTCAACAAAACATTCTTAGATCCTGACGGGATCCAAACCCATAGCGGTGTCAAGTGATGTTAAGTAGCTTACGCGAAGGCTCTTATCACCTATCACAAATGAATAAGGTGCTTAACAAAAACATAAGGAAAGTACATAAAAACACTATTTTGATTAGTTGTGTGGATTGTGTATGATGTTATATATTGCAACAAATGGAAATCAGTATACTTTTAAACAGTAATTGTACAGTAATATATCATTATAAGAATAAACCCATTTAATACATGAGTAAAGTTACATATACCATCGCCGTAATACCACTGCACTGTCTCCGCGATTGTTCTAATATTCCTTGACTTCAAGCGCATCTTCGGAAATGTGTCCCTCAGTAATTCAACGACTTCAAAATGACATTCACTCACACGGTCCGAGAGTCCCAAAATCTTTACGAGTTTTGATTTTTTATCGATCTCAATGTTTACACCATAACTCATTTCCAAGGTTTTTAAAGAACGTTCCTAAAAATAATTTATTTATATATATTTGGAGTTATTATTTATTTGTAATAACTGACATCGTTTAGTAAGAAATATCTTGGTCTGATTTATTGGTTTCATCATGAAAAATTGGAATTTATTCTGTATCAAATTTTCTTTTGAAATTAGATCTTATAAAACATTACTCCAATAATTGTAATAGGACATTTATGAATTTAATGTAATCAAATAGTACTCAAAATCTCATCACTGGTCTCAAATGTTCAATACTAATCTCCAACACGTTATTTAAGATATCGTCCTTAATCAGTCTCATGCAAACACATACGGGTACTTAAGTTAGCACATCGTGTTGTCTGGTAATAAAACACTCAGACTATTTATTACGGTTTTAGTACTACTATTTTTATTCTTAAACGAAACACAGTTTTCTCATTTGAACATAGAAAGACCGAAAGTGTGTGTAAACATGGGGAGGAACTGTTACACGAAGGATGGAGTTCTTAATATGATAACTTGTCAGAAGCTCTTGTCATAACTATTAAGGAGTTCGTCGGAAGTTGTTTCTTTATACTTATTAACTTACTAATTAAATTTTCATCTTTTAAAAAGTGAGTAATATGAGCTAAATTTATCTTTGATGATTAAGCTTGCCTTATATCTCGAATGATGTGTCAAAAACTAATTCATTTGCCATTTTTTCATCGCCTCTTGCTTAAAATCTGGTAGTCTTTAGTTAAATTTCCATATCCAAATCATTTGTCAATTCGCACGTATTGACCTGTTAATTTATGGTCTTCACAATACCTAATTATAATGCAAAGTTGCAAACATAAAGCCTCGGCTAACAAACTTTTACCCGATTTTTCAAATGTCCTGGAGTTCTTGTGATAACTCTTAAGATGTCCTAGAGTTTTTAAAACAACTTTTGTTACTGCCAGTGTGCTTCTTGCGCTAAATTACGACACGTTTTAGCGGTTTTTTTATTATTCAATAAGGTTGTTAATCATTAAGTACGCTCATACTTTTAAACAAAAAAGGATATATAATGTTGGTTTTGAGTGTATTTTAGTTGAATAGAATTATTATTTTTTACCCCCGCTTCTTGTGCAATATTTTATTTTATTGTATTTTTGCTGTCGCAGATTTCGTAGACTGGAAAAAGGATTGATGTAGAGCATTGACGTACACGATAAAATGCGCTTTGAAATTGATACGCCATGTATATAAAGGACTTTTTGTTACAATGATGCACAGATTTGGAATAGAATACCATCTTTTGTACGTTCTTCTAATTCTCTGACATCTTTTAAAAATGAATATAAAGAACATTTCTTGCAAATCAAATAAATATCTTCATAAATCTGTCATTATGTTTTAATACTTATTATGCATGTATATTGTTAAGATATTTGTAAATGAAAATTGAAAATGATATTTAATATCTTAATGGAGCGTTTGTCAAGAAATGTTAGATGGCAAAATTTAAATGGAATAGTTATTATTGTTTTATGATTTTTTGTGTTTGTGTTGCTATATTTTGTTTAGAAGGCCAAATTTAAAATTAAGATAATTATGTTATTTGTTTTCTACAATGTTATATCTTCTTGTGTTACCTTCTATAAATAAAGAAATAATCAGGTAAATACGTGCGAATTGGCAAATCATTTGGAAATTTTACTCTAAACTGCAAGATTTTCAGCAAAAAGCGATGAAAAAATGACATATGAATTTAGTTTTTGACACATTATACAAGATGTAAGGCAATTTTTTATCATTGGCACCTAACACCCATTTTGTAAAGATCAAATTTACCAGTTTCAGTTTCAGTTTTTATTAAACCAAGGCATATAATATGCAACTGGTTATTACAACAAACAAACAGAAAAATAACAGTCAAAAATCACTAATATCACAATATAAGTATGAATACAATTATGACTAGCTAAATAAACAAAAAAGGAGATCATATTGTTCATTTCAAGTACTGAATTCAATACCACATGTATTTTATATTGTAACAAATGGGAACGGAGAATGAGAAGTATTAATTATCTAAATTTTAACATAATGTTTTTACAAAATAATGATTATTTTAGTTGAATCTTTTTATCACAACTATTCATTAATGTGTCAAGGATGAATGTAAAACCTGTGAAGAAGAGATTTGATGAGTGTGTTTGTGGTATATACAAACGTTTTCCGACGAACTCTGACAGTTAACACAAGAACTCCTGACAAGTTATCAAAAGAACTCAATCCCTAGTGTAACAGATCCTCACACGTGGTATATGTGATAAATGTGTAACAAAAATCACTTGACGATCCATATTTAGACATGTGATATATTCATCAAAACTTCGGCATGAAAGCAATATGATTTTAAAAAATGTTCAAAAACATATTACCATCATATAATTCCACGCACAGTGATTTTATTAAGCGATAAAATCACTGTTGGGTTATATTACGTCTTAGGTAAGATGCGTATAATCAAACTGTTTTAATCAGTGTCTACAAGAATACATGTCAAATGAGAAATGTGCTTGGCTTGCTTAAATATATTGAATTTTGTCTTAGGCAGCTACCATCTATTTATTATCTTTGACATAACCAACAGATCACTAGATATTTCGAGCACGATAATAAATCAGTAATTTGAAAATGCTAATCAATTAATTATATATAAGCAAACATAAAAAATAACAACCTCAACTTCTGTAAGCGTTTTTTCGTTTGATAGTTCCTGGAAATTCAACTTTTCTTCTTTTATTTGTTTTTTAACTGTTTCCTGAATTTTCTTTTGGATCTTTTCACCACTAGTTTTTGAAACAATTTTGAAAACGACGACGTCATCTATCTCCGAATGTTTGTCAAACGACGGTGGCGAGACATATCGGACAGTTTTATGTTTCGGTGGCATTTGGGAACCTTGGATATTAAAATCATTCAGAAAGAACATATTTTGCTACCAATAAATATGTCAGTATATCTATATCAGTTTTGTTAACATTTCTTGAAACAACTTATACTATTTTACAAAATTTACATTTAAATATATGAAATATTACTCAGGAATTCGACATAGATGTCAATTGTACAACTCTTGTCTCCAATACGTTATAAACGATAATGTTATCAGTCAGTTGTAAATACATAAGAGCATTCATTCCAATAAGCATGTTGGTGTCGCCTGGTGAAAAAAACCACTCAAACTTGTTATTACGGATGAAACGAGTACAAGTAATAACTCTTAAGACATCAAATGACTTTCAGGTTCAAAAGATATTGGAACACATTTTTCAATATAGATTGACTTATGAAATAATGATATAGTTATAGCTGAATTATTACCTTTCTTGCTAATGGACATTCCGGTACCGTGAGTTGCGACGCTGTTGAAAAAGTGCGGAACAACATCTTCAAATATCTTCGTAAAAGATAGGGAAAAATCATTTTGTTGGATAATAAATACTCATTTCCTTAAGGATACATTATAATATCTTCAACATTTTATTATCTTAATATTAGTTCATTATATATTTGTTATTGTGTGCATACAAATATATATTTTGATGTATAAAACAAAATATTTTTAAACAAAAGAAACATGTTAATTAGCGCATTTGTTGTCATGTCGAACATTCACTGTTAAAGCTGTTTGTTTCAATCGCGCAATAGAATTTAAATTCTTTTGTACGCAGAAACAATACAAGTAGAATATGGAGTGTTTCACGATATTCTGGTTTACTGGTGGTTTGTATTTTGATATTATTCATTTTACCTTACATATACCATCATCCAACGAATAAACGACAATGAAAACATCTTTAAGCGGAGATTCGTCATGTCCAATTTCACATACTGACTTCACCATAGCATTAGCTACTTTGTCAGCAGGAAATCCTGAATGTCCCGTTCCTATTGTAGGAAAGGCAATTGAAGAATAGCCATGACTGATTGCTTCAGCGAGACATCTTGATACCAGATCACTTACAAACTGGAAGAAGAAAACATTGACGCTATTTACAAATTTGCGCTTTGTCATGATATAATTCTTTTCAATCAGAAAATACAGTTCATTTTCTGACTGATTTAGTCGAGTCGGCTATATTTTCCGAAAAAAAGTATAAATTCATCCGTAAACATTGCACACATTCAAATAACTCCCCTTTACATAAGTAATCGTCAAAACAAAAGAAGATGCATAAGCTACAGAAATGTTCAAAAACAGTTATATGAACAGACATATCTTACCTTTTCTCCGTTTTGTGAATCCCACCTCATCGGAATCTTAGCATGAATGAGTTTTTTGCATTTCAACAGACCGGATCCAGTAGATTTGACTTCACCCTCTGAAATCGTATCCAAGTTTTGGCATTCTTGCCTAATTGTATTTCCGCCAGCATTTAATATCGCTTTCGATATTTCACCCGTTAAATTGGGGAACTCTGACGTTGTGTTTACAATGGCGTCTACCTGTAGTTAATTAAAAATGAATAGTCTTATAAATGAGGAATGCAAATGATATATTAGCTTTTAAATGTTGGTAAAAACGAAGTCAATAGCCTTTGCCACCAAAATATAAATATACTTTTGCAGCTCATTTTTTTTTGTATTTTGATATTGACAACCCTTTAACTTTAAACCTTATATTCAAAATACAAAGAAAGGAAAATCTTTTTCACACGTTTTTACCTTTGTTAATGTTTACAGGTTTCACTGCAAAAATTGCAATCAAGTAAAATTAAAGCCCCAGTCACATTAGAGCTTACGACCAGTGAAGACCAGTTCACGATCACCAGTGACCTCTGGTCGCGGACAATCAATCTTTAAAACGTCTTACGACGGTCATCGAAGATCTTTGACAGTCGCAGGTTATCTTATTTAGGTCCAAGGACCAATTTCAGTCGTAGAGAGGTTTTTGAGCTTGCACAAAAACCTCCTTGCGATCAAACAGGTCGCTAGTGATCTTATAAGGTCTTAGGCTGTCGCACGATGGTCGTTCAGAAGTGCGACAATCTTACGACAGTCTTTACAAATTGCCACTAGTCACTGGTAATCTTGAGTAGTCTTTAGTAATCGTGTGATGGTCGTACGACTAGTTGTAGGTGATCGCATGACAGGTCACGGGTAGTCGTAAGTAATCCCACACAATCTTGAGACCATCGTACGTTTGCTAATGACCTGTCGTGTGATTGTCAATGATGACTGGTCTTACGATAGTCGCAGAAGTAAATTTATCTGTGCAAAAAGGGTTTTGGTCGCAGACAATCGTTGATGATCGTAAGTTTTACAAGTCGTCGGTGGTCGCAAGTAATCGTAAGCTCTAGTGTGACTGGGGTTTAAGAATAAAAAACTGTTGATTTCTAAATCATAATTTTAAGGAGAAAGAAACATGAGATGAATGTATGACTTAAATTGCACTATACATTATATTTCATTCTAACACGACCTGCATTTTTCCCTAATGAACATAGAAGAACCGAAAGTGTGTGTTATTATGCAACAAAATCACTGTTGACGTTCTATATTTAGACTTGTGACGTAATCATTTTAAACATGTGACGTAACCACTAAAAATGCGTCGAGCTAAAAAAGTGCCTAAACAAATCAGGTGCAATTGATCTTATTATCAGGTACGGCAACATTTATTGTCAATGTCGTGTTAGAATCGAAATAACATATCCAAATCGGTGATTGTATCGCTTGATAACATCATTGTCGTTCGGATGCGAATCATTATATTACTCGGTCTACGCTCTCGTGTTATAATTCCTCTCATCCGAACTCCAAACAGTGATGTTATTGAGCGATAAAATCACTGTTTGGGATATATTATTTCTTGATTAACAGACGCAACCAACCGACTGTATAAGTTTCATATAATATTATTGTTTCGCCGCTTCACAGGGATAATCCATTTTCCAGATATAAACATAATGTAACTACTTAACCTTTTGTTTGGTCAAATCAGCTCTCACAACATGTAGATTCATATTGTCTGATATAGGGATTTTGTATGGAAGTCCGTCTGAAAAATATCCAAACTTGCTGTTGATAAATGTATATATCTCATAGCAAATCTTGGAAAAAATCCAAGTCTAAAAGCAAACTTAATTTATAACATTGTAAAGAAGTTCTTGTTTGATAATTTTAATCAGAATTTGATCCTGCAGTGAGCTTGTGCAAACTTATTATAGCAAGGAGATATATCTAATTCTATTTCAATTTTATTGTTTTTTTATTACTTTATTGTTCATCCTTACCTTTAAATAAATCGTTCATTTCTTCATTAGATGTAGATCTTTTTATGTCAGGCTGTTTTACACGCTTGAAACCATAAGCATTCTTGCATTTGAAAAAGAAAGTTACAAAATTAAGTCAAGAACAGAATTTTGCAAATATATATTGTAAAATATACATTTAGAACATTTTATTTATATATTTTTACTACATCTTACGTGTAATGGTCGATTAATGACTAAAACGGTCAAATATTTGATAGATATAAAAAAAACTTTAAAGTTGTCTGAAAGCTTTGGTTTCAACGGCGTTCTTCTGTGATATGAAAAACTGTATGCCTATAAGAGAAATGTCTATTAGTTTTTTATAAAAACAAATGTGTCCTAACATTACCTCTCTTCTCCATCTTAAGCCAGTTCTTGGACGCTCTAGTTGTGCACGACCCGAGCTTGGTCGGATCACTAACTTATTTTCGGCTTTCCTGATTGCTGTAACATAAGAAGCATACAAACCGTCTCTGTACAATTTTTAAATACTTCTATGTTCTAAAAATCCCAGAGAGTAACTGATGCAAAAAACACAAAAACACTGCTGACAAAACTTGAATGCCTGCAATTTTTTAAACTTACAAAGAATTCAACACTCTTCATAACAGAAGCGAGGGCTAAAATTATTTTAATTCCAAAGTAGAGCTAGCACTAAAAGGTAATTAATACCCACACCCGCCACCTTTAAATTTCCTGCAAAAATAAGAGGTCTAAAGTAACATTTCAACTCAACCTATATTTTATGATGTTCCATTTGTGTACCTATACCGACAGACAGGCAGACGCCTTTATAATCCCTAAACTTCGTTTGTGGGGGGTATAAAAACAATACATAAGTACTAGAACTAATCAATAAAAGAACAAAAGTAGGATTAAAATTGTGGCGATTTTATTACAATAACTGACACCTGTTGTAACGAGCATGAAAATCCTAAAAACTTATAAAAGATACAAGGCTCATGCAATATAGAAAACAAGCTTACATGACGTCAGGAAATCATCCACTTGTAAAGGTTTCCCATGTTCAAAGAAAACCCAGTGAGAGCTTTTGAGTTTTCCAAGAGCTTCTGTAAATTTCTTCACTGCAGCTTCTGAACTATCACAAAGCACTATTTCCTTGATTACCGTTTCTTTATTCTGAAATAAATTCTTTTGTTTAAGCCTCTGTAAAATGATGGCAATATTGACTATTGATCAGGATAAAAAAAATAAACAGTTCAGTTAATTACACAGAAAATCTGTTTTAAAAAAGACATACAAAAATCAAGTTTTTGTCGAAGGAATCCATAAAGGAATTAACGGTACAATATTTTTACTCACAACCATAACTTGTCTAGTTATGCTATGTAATAAACACTACTTTACAACTGATCGTTGATGTTGGCAATTAGCAACCAATTAACTTATGTGACGGAGTAAGAACCAACAAGTTGTTTTAAATCTTTGTTTGTCCGTTTGGTGTTATCTTCTGTTTAATATGTAACCTCAAAAGTTAGTAAACGCATTACAAAAAAAGTGTAAAGCATTAATGCTTATAACTTTGATCCTTATATCCAAATACACTTTTTGATCATAAAGTTAAAGAATGAAATTAAATTAATATAATATTACATTAACGATAATAAGAATACTGCTCACATTTTCAACAAAATCCGCAACAGCTTCTACAATATATGACGTTGCTTTATCGTGAGGATACTTTCCAGCGCCACATCCAATCGCCGATAGAGACACTGATGCAAGTTTCTTGTCCTGACATGTCTGCAGAAATAATGCATTTCGTGATAAAAAATTGAGATATAGTTATGTTTATCGTAGAGGGAATATCTGTATTATTCATACAAATTCAGAACTTAACTGTCCTTAACTTTTTCTTTTAGCTTTACAGTAAATTCTGCAAGAGAACACCTGTTTCCCAAAGCAGACATATGTGACTGTACGACATTTACGCTATAAGTAGATGGTGTATTTGGTATATATCACATGACATTTTTTCATTTTGTTTATACATGAACAATATCTATCCTAAAATTGACAGCACCAATTGAGAAATATAGTATGAACAGCCAGGATGGAAATAGTAATATCATGTTGGATATGTTGGATGTACACACCTTTCAGTTAAAATGACGTTATTTTGTTGTTGCAACGACTTTGATAAAGAAACTCGTTGATCAAATACTTTGATATTTTACCATACGTATTTGTCTTTCAAATTTAAAAAAGTCATACATATATGTATATTGTAAAAACTAAAGTTTAGTTTAAGTGAGTTTGATACCTGTAATATCTTTCGAACTAATGTCTTCATCTCCTTTTCTTCTGATTGTTTTCCATCTATCCATCTTGGGGAAAATACATGAATGACTTTTAAACAGCGAAGTTGACCAGACTCCGTCAATACAATATCACCATTTTTAAAGCCACTGTTGGAAGGTTTATTATTTCTTTCTTGTATTTCATTGTCTTGGCCTTGTATGACCTTTCTTTCGTGCGTATCGGTATTGATGCGCTCAATCAATTTATCGCCAATTTTTGATCTTCTTTCTTCAATAGCTCGTAAAAGTTCATCTCTGATTTCAGTCCCACCTTATTTGTAATATGAAATAAAAATCAAACTTTCTTAACAGTCAATTTTATTTATTCATATGACTTGTTCAGTTGTTTTATTAAAAGAAATTGGCTATATCAAATAAGTTTATCTAAAAGTGGCCTTTATTTGGATTTTGTCTTCTTTGTTCATAGCAAGAAATAAACACTTAAGGTACTAAGTATCATAAATATGGCAAAGAATAATCCTAGAGTCCTGCAATGTAAACTATACAAAATAAAAAGATCGTATGTTTACCAATATTTTGCAGGCATTTGCCTATTCCTTTCTCAAATGCTTTAACATGCCCATTTGTATTATGAACTATCGCTGCTGTTGTTTCAAATGTGATGTCACCTCGCTTGACTTGGATGATTGTTCCGTTTTTAGAAAACACAGAAATTCCCGCAATTCCATATGCTGCAAGACTGTGTCCTATATATGCATCCAATAAAAATCTTTCATTATGTGATAAGGTCTTCAGGTCTACAAGGTCCTGGATAACACTTGCTATCCATTTTTCCTTCATTACGAACCAATGTTGCTTTATTTCTGTTATGTTTCTTTCTATAGATTTATGCAAACGGCTAATATCGTCGGGTGAACATTTAAGAGAAAGTTTCCCAGAATACAAACCATTGCTGTCTTTTCCACATTCGATATTACTCCGAATATCGTCAGCCTTAAACTCATCTAGATACATTGCAATTTCTACTGGCACGCGCATCGTTACTGTTCCAAGTTTGTGACTTTTCAAATAATTTTCTACGTCCATTTTTGCAGCTTTGACTGTTTCGTCTGTACCAATAATCTTTAAAGTCCGGTTGTTTACTGGTTCCAAAATAACCACGGGGCCATTTGCTTTCTCAATAATCTCTTCCTTATATTGCTTCCATTGTGCTGTGGCAAAATTACTCAAGGGCTCTTCTTTGTCAACATAAATTTCATATGTTTTTATAAGATTTCTAATGACATCTAACATCTTCTTTTTCTTCTTTTCAATACCTTCATTTCCTTTGTAAGTTGTAACAATGACTGCATTTTTCATTTCATATAAAGTGAGGTTATGGTTTAAGTTGTCTTTACGGAATTGTTCTTTGAGTAGTTCAAGACCTCCTTTTTGCAGAAACATGACACGTTCTGCTTCAATAAGCAGTTCAACAGATTCAAGTTCTAAAGCTAACTTTAGTATACAACGCTCAGCATTACCCACTTCATCAGTTGGACCCTTTAAAGTGATTTTTCCTTCATCCGTATTCACCTTGAAAGATGTAGAAGGACAATCGGTTTTCACCTTGTTCAGTAGTCCTTCCGCGTCTAACGCTAAATATTTTGGTACCATGTTTTCCATATATATGGTTTTAATCTCTGGAAATATAGCTTTCGTTTCGGCCTTTTTAGCAACTTCTTTTAAGCTACTTTCATTTGACCCGTATAGAATAATGTAATTGTTCTCAAGATCTTCCTCAAATTCAAAGTCGTATTGTGCCCTGAGATCATTTAATTTATCGGTGATATTATCATCACAATCAAATTTTACTTCATATACATGTATTGCCGTTTTGAAATAATTTGATACTGCTCTCTTTGTTATATCTTTCCAATTTGCTGACTTTTTCCAATCCGACTCGGATCCACAATAATTAAAAGTTATTGAAGTGTCCTCAGCAACTAGATTTTGTTGATCCTCGAATTCGTCGGTGTCTTCTTGTTCCTCCCAACGCACGTCAACTTTGATTCTTTCATTTAAAGCATCAACAAACGACTTCTTTTCTGCATTTCTTGACTTGATAAACCTGATTAATAAACAAACCTATATATTTTTGTTGTTAATTATAAAGTAATAGATATGATTATATTCAATAAAGTAGGCTGTTATTAATGCATTGCATCGATACGTGTGACTGTTAACCAGATTTAGTGAAAACCCATTTAAAACTAGTATTGTTTTAAAGTTGAAGATTTCAGCTTTGTCTAAAGTAAGTCAATCAAAAAGTAAGGAATTCAAGTGTTTGTCATGAAATTATCCCATGTTTAACCTCAAGGGGCCCGACACAGCGAAATGGAACCTGCACATATTTAGCTACAGGGTTACAGCATTTACAGAGCGGACACAAAAATGTCTGACATTTGACCATCGAATGTAACGTTGACATTGAGCCAGCGCTGCCGCTGTATAGGTTTAGTAATTCGCTAAGTTGAGGTTAACATTTGAATATTTGAATCAAATTTATAGAAAAACGTGTTAGAGCTATTTAAAAAGCGGACACAGCTTATGAACTTTAAACATGTTCTTGACCTGAGCCGGCACAGCAATGGCATGGTTTTAAACTTCAAGCTTGACTTGATATTCAGCCGGTACAATACTGATTCTGAACATTATCTTATTAAGATAAACATTTAAGCTAAGTTTGAAGAAAGCCCGCGAACGGGTTGATGATTTAAAGAGAGGACATTCACATTTTCTGACATTTTACCTTCAATCTGGCCACAACTTTAGTGACCTTGAATTAAGTCAGAACAGCGGCAATACTTGTAATGAACATTGCCTTGTTGAAGTGAACAAGCAAGCAAAGTCTGAAGAAAAGAATTTAAAGAGCCGACACGCTGAACAATGACAAATTGACCGATGGGCTAATTGACCGGTGGTCGCAAAAAAAATGTGATTCCAGTAAAGCCTTAACAACATTATAAGTTGAGGTATAATCATTTAATTAGTAATTTCGGAGTAAGATTAGATTGATAAATGTGCGTTGTGCATTATTCTATTTTATATATACGTTATTGAAGTAAAGAACCAACGTCATCATAAGTTTAAGTTTTATTTTAACTTATTTAAATATTTAAAACTCTTTTTCAATGCGAATAGTCTATTAAATACATGTTCACTTGTCAACAACCACCAAGAATCTTTACATATTTAAAATATTGTATGTATCGTACCTGAGTTTGTTTCTGTCTACATCAACAACCAAAGGCGTAAGGTCTGAAGTTGGTTTTTTACCACCATTTACCGATAATCCAAGTTCTTTGTACTTTGGTAGGACAAGAGCTTTGACGTGTTGATCATCAAATAAACTGTATTTGTTCTTCATCCAAACGTTCCGTGCAACTAATCATTAGACAATTCATTTAATATGATGTCTTTTAGTAACCATATTACCTTATGTTAATTTGAATATCAACAAATCATGCAATAATACAGAAAGAATATTGAGACTCTTTTGTATTCAATAAAAATAGATCTTAATAATTCAACAAGGCAACTATTTTTAATATAGTTTTTCATTAAACATGAATCCTTAAAAACCAAGTTATAAATAATATTTTTTTATTTCAAAGATTTCCATGTGCCTTTAAAATTGGAAATAATGTTCTTTTAAGATGTCTTTTAATATGTTAAGAGATCTTACAGTAAGCTTCGATTAAAACCGAATTAATAACTGAACAATATGTTATGATAGTCTGTCAGCAAAGGCATTACATGTTTTACAATACTTACTTTCACTTTTTTCAAAATTGATTACCCAACAGCCCGGAATGTCTTCTTCAAACTCTATACTCTTAACAGATCCACCACCAGCTTTTTTCCTGGTAAAACGAGCTTCTAATAAATCTACCACATCGTTTTTATTAATTTTTTCCGCGCCATTTAAAAGGACTTGAACACTTTTTGTTTCGTTTATTCTCTGGCCTTTACACCTCAAATTAAGTTGAATATCTTTAAGACCTGAAAGTTCATTAAAATAAATAATTTCAGATTGCATTTTCTAACGAGATTTTGCTATAGAGACAATATTAACAAAGACGGTCTGAAGCTTGTGTTATTTCACAAAAATGCTCTCGACGTTCTTATTGCCTCCTCAACTCCTGTAAAATCAACTCCTGTAAAATACGCAATTTCGTTCCTGAACATAGCACATATATTTTCAAGGAACATATCTGATAGTTCCATCACTGTATACATGCGTCAAACATATATCGTTTGACACTTGTTAAGAGTTATTATTTTTCTTCTTTTTTCCGGCAAAATACCGCTCCATTTATGAACTATATTTTTTCAGAAAACTGTGACTGTAGAACAAAAATATTTCTTTGGTCATGTGTTAGAATTGAAATGTCGTTTAATCACTTAAACCAGCAGCTTTCGTCATTACATTACTGTGCATCTGAACTGCATGCAGTAGTGTACTATTTCCTAAATTGGTTTATATAAGGATTATCATGAACATCCGGTAAAACCTTGACTTTTTCTTGTATATAAATAAAGAAAACGCTTTAAGTTTTAAACTTATGTAAATACAAAACCATTTAAGCAATTAAGAAATACATTTGTCAAATGAGTTTTAAAATTTTGCAAAATCTTTATTTCTGTATCTTATTAGACTATAAGATGCAATTACTTAGATCTGTTATTTTTTCATTGAATTCCAGGACGAAACTTGATGGACTGTTTCCATACTGAAGCCGCCTAGGTTTGAAATCTATTTTTGATCTGATTTCAGTAATCGCTTCATCTATGGTTGCCTCTTCGTCGTCAAATTGATAGCCGCTTATTAGAATAGTGCTTCCTAGTTCTTTAAAAAATAAAACAATTCATGATGATAATTCTCTTTTTATTAGAAATTAAATGTATCACAAAATCTCAAAATCGTTCATGTTTCAATTGGTATGATCATAGAAGCATTCCAAGAATCATGATCTAATCTAGCCATTATTAATACTATAAATTAATAACAGGGACTTTAATATGATAAAAATGACATTTATAAGTTCGTTATATATAGCTACTGAATTTTTGTGAAATAAATTTTAATTCGTGCTGTAAGTTTTCTAAGGACATATTTGCAAACAAATTTATAAACGGTTGTAGAATGTCGTGACCTTTCTGAGGTGCAGTAACGCGTTAAGTCCTTTTAAATCTAATAGGAGTTAATCAGTTGTTTAACAAAGGTAACGATGTATATTATCTTCGCATTGAAGCCTAACGTACGGTTTAAAACCTAAAATAATAAACGTTATATTTATAACACACGCCACGAAAATTCTTAAAATAGCATAAAAATGTACCTTGCGCTATTATCAATCTTCTCCCATGTGTAACCTGAATTTCACCGCTGCTAAATTCAATTTCAAAATGCAATGTGTCTGGATCAAGTTTTCCTTTAACCGAGAAGACATCTTTTGTCGTGTTTCCAACGGACACAACAAACAAATTATGTGATACTTGTCGCTCGTGTAAACTTAACCGGAAGGCGATCACTGAACTGAACGGATATTCTTGGACGGCGCTGCTCCGCTCCCATATTACATCTTCCTCATCAGGTGAACCTTTAAAAGACCAGGAGAATTGATACTTGGTTTGAGGGTCAAAATAAAAATTAAAATTGGTAATATCAAGTTACTGGAAAATTAAGAGCTGAATTTTATGAAATATTTAATATCTGATATTCACCAAATAATGCAAACGTGTAGGTCTACAAAAGTGTTGTTTTTTGGGGGGGTTTTTTGGTTTTTTCATTAAAAAATATTTATACACATACTAGTGTTTGCATTGGCATATTAAAATTTTTGTCGCTTTAAGATTAATTACATAAATTATGTAACTATTTAAGCTTCTCTAGTAAATCTTTTTTCTCCAGCATTAAGCTATTGAAAATAATATATGTCTACAATATAAAGTCAACATAAACATATGCAAATCTTTGCAAAAGTCAATGAATTAAGAAATGGTAAAATATAGAATTAACCATCATTTGCTTTATTAGAAGCTGCTCTTGATGAATGTTGAAAAGAAAAAACTTATGCAAGTGATATTGATTTTTTGCTCTTTGCATAGATTACTGACAAATTTCTGAGTTTTCTACTATGTAACCCTATGATGAAAATTCTTTTATTTTATATCTTATTGACAAAAACCTCATAATTTGATATTAAGTCGTTGTGACTGGCATATATGATATCTCAGATAGGTTGGTCTTATTCTATCTTAAATACTTATTCATTAAAATGCATGACCGACAAAGATTCCATTTTGACAATTGTAAGGGGTGAGTAGTCGGTCACTTGCGGAAGATTTGACAACTGCTGGAAAGTTATCCAGGTAAACCGGTTAGGACCTTATACCAATATACATGTATCTCCAAAAATCATACCAACCAAATAACAAACAGACAAACAAGTAACCTTTATTTATATTTCTCGATACAAGTTTCAGGCTCATAAAACCATGAGATGGTGGCTTCTCTGCTATATTTTCGTTTAACAGTTTCATATCCCAGTGGCAATGGTAGACATCACCAGCTACAACAGGTTTACTGAAAAAGGAACAGAACCAAATTTTTCACTTCTTTCCTCAGATCGTGCAATAACATTTCATTCACTGTTTGCAAGAATGTTAAAGTAAACATTTATTTAGTCTGTACTACTTAGGTGCCCGTAAAAATGCACGAAAGGCACACTTGTTTTAAGGGGAAAAACCTGAATACTCAAGTTTGATTCAAGAGTGTCATGTTTAAAAGAAACACATTATGGTAAGATAAATTTAACATGATACATCATCATCTAGGTGATTGCGTTTATATACCGTGGTATACAAATGAAACTACAAAATTATCATATAAATAAATGTTAGTTGATGCTTTTTATTGTACCGGCATAGAAACAATAATATAACATTAACTATTTCATGTCTATGTGAGTAATCTAATATAATTTTGGATTAATAAGAATTCTTTTAATTAGGAATTCTAGATAAATTATATCACGAGAGATGAAGAAAGATCAAAACATTGTTTAACAACGATTCATTACCTGAATCTGCATCTTGCTGTATTTGATGCTATTGATGCACTACTTCCATGACCACTTCTGGCAGAACACAGTAATATCTTTTCATATCTGTCCTCTTTTAATAAAACATATACTAATTAAAATTGTTTGCCATGGTTCTGATCGAATTAAAACCCTAGACAAAATGAAAGCAGCGTTACACCGTCACGTCTCAACATTGCAGTTTTTTAGGACCATCAGAATTCTAATGTCTCTAGTAATAATGGTAACAACAAAAAATTATGATTTGTAATATGAGTAAGCATCTCATTTATTTAACTGATCAATGTTTAATATATATTTGCATTTGTCCACAGGTCTTTCCATAAAGAGCATACAAAAGCAAAAAAGGGCATGAGGAAGCGCCAGTTTATGACAGTTTACCACTAGGAATCCAGTTTTATGTTTTTGAGGGTTAAAAAGATTTCTGTATAAAACAATTTATTTATGCTTGTAAATAGATAGTGTCATGTTAACCTTCCTCTGATAGATCGGCTTCTACATCTGGAGTCCCATACACATGGATAACATACAACCAAAGGTTTGCCGGGATATTTTCACAGTCATTCTCAATTTCATCGCCCTCTGGTCCATAGCGAAACGAAGAATATTTAGTTTTGTACAAGATGCGAACTGCTTCCTGTTCCCCTGAGTTAAAGCCTTCCTCCTTCTCAAATACAGAACCCTGAATATAAAAAGCAATAGTTTTTGTAATAAAAAAGTGATAAAGATATACAATAACCTCTTATGAATTTTTTGAAAAATTGTTAAAAGAGTAGCCGTTACACACTATCTTATATGTGTTGATCAATTTAAAGAATGAATTACGTTAGTTCATCTTGTATGGTCTGAAAATATTAATCAACTCATTTTGCATACATTATCCGGAAATTGAACGTACTATATTAAGTCTTGTACATCCTTGCTGTTTAATCTATTATTTTTGTTGGCTTGTTAGTTCGGTTTCACTAGCCGTGATAGTGCACCCATGTACAGATTTAACAGCCATTTTAAAGAGAAAATAGTAGAAAGGCATTGCAAGATGGAGGATAGAGTACGCCAGAGAAATAGAACTTGGCATAGATGATTGTGTTGTAGAAAGGTTAGACAGTTGCTACCTAAAACATCTGAAATTCCTTACGTGGGAAGTACATGGTAGTTACTGTTGTGCTGAGTGCTCTACGACAGGAAAATGTTTATGTTTTATTTGTTGACAAATTAAAGAAACATTTGAACATACCATTTTTGTGATTTCCATCATTCAAAATAATGTACATATATTACCATATATATTACACCATATATTACTTCATAAAAGAGATATAAACATTTGGTTTAAATCACATGTAGGGGCCTCACACTACTTTATGGCATATTGGATTAACAGCAGTAAGGTTCAGCCCAAATAACAGTTATACAGCCATGCTCTTGTACCGCAACAATATTTATAATGTATACCTCTTACCCATTTCTTGAACTTATGAAGGAACACTAAACGTTGAATAGAATATGCGATAAAAATTTTATATACTACTTCATAAAAGAGATATAAACTGTTATTTTAAACCACACGTAGGTGCCTCACTCTACTTGATGGCATATTTGATTAACAGCAGTAAGGTTCAGCCTAATTACAGTTATACAGCCATGGCCTTGTACCGCAACAATATTTATAATGTATACCTCTTACATAAGTTACTTTTCTTACTTTAAGTAATGAAGGAACATTTAAACGTTGAATAGAATATGCGATGAAATTTTCAAAATTATAATTAAAATTCATGTACAAATTGCAGAATTATATTCATATAAAATGCATTTTGAGTCACTTTTAGAATAAACTTTACGAACCTCAAGAATGTTTTCGTTGTCTGACGGATTAATACTGGTTAACCCGATACGTAAAACACCGCCTCCTTTAAATGTTATCTTAATCTTGGTCTTTTCCTCGAAAGAAATTCTGCTCCCAGATACCAACGTATTTGTAGGTACTGTAAACTCATTGCTTGTTTTATTTGCCGAGTTTCCAAGTACACTTATCCTTGTGTCTGATGGATCACATTCTAGGTCAACTGAAATAGAAGGACTTGCGCAAATGTTTATGTATAACAATTTTTCCATTTCATTTTCCGAATCATTTTTAGACTAAAGGTTTCTTGTTGTCATTTATTCCCTGTCATTTGAATGTTGTGTGATCTAGTAGATTTTCGGGTTAAAGACTAAAATGCACATAAAGCACTCTAAGTGTAAGAATACATGCAACTGAAAACAATAGTAACAGTTTAAAGCACCATTATATATTTGATATAAATAACACTTTTTTATACAATTCATTGCTAGGATGGATCCAAGTTCTCGACCTGATGAACTTCCGGTAGTCAAAGAACCCGACTTATGGTCTTACTTTTCTAAACATCTACATCAATGCAATGGGGCGTCCGTGGCCGAGTGGTTAGTGTCGTTGACTTCAAACCACTTACCGTTCACCGCTGTGGGTTCCAATCCCGACAGGGACTTTGGATTCTTTCATGTGAGGAATCTATCCAGCTAGCTTACGGAACGTCCGTGGTTCTACCTAGGTGCACGTTCGTGCCTGAAATAATGCTCGGCAGGGAACCTGAGGTCAACCCTCACCAGTAATGCTGGACCGTCGCCATATGACCTATAATGTGTCTGTGTGACGTAAAACAAAATTAAACAAACATCAATGTACTTTGCCCACCTGTGCTCCAACTTGTTAACTCTTCACAATAGGACTCTCTTTTTTTGGTCCTAAAAGAACTTATTGACCGCCTTCATGACAACTACATTGCTTCCAGAACCACGAAGCTTAGTTTTTAGTTTCGGAAACAGGTAGAAGTCAGAGAGGGCCACGTCCGAGTATATTTGGGATAGGGAAGAATTTCAAAGCAGCAGTCAGTTTCAGCAGTCATCGCAACTTAGGATGTGTGAGCTGGCGCATTGTCGTGCAAGAGCAGAACGCCTTGAGTCAGTTGCTCCTCCTTTTATGCGCGATTTCTTAACGCTGACGTCTCAATTCTGCATAGTACGTACCGTTTATGGTACGACCTTGCCCAAGATAGTCAATCATAATTATCCCCTGAGTATCCCAAAAATTGAATCGCACATGACCAGATTGTGCACAGCTTCGGCAGTTTAACGTTTGTGGCCCAGGCCGTTCAGCATCTCCAATGCTCTCCCTACCCCTCTTAAATTCAACAGCCTATTCTTTCACAGTGCTATAGGAAGGGGGCTCTTACCAAAGTGTATCCATGAAGTCTTCATTTCCTTGGAGGACATCCCTTTCTTACAGAGGTACTTAACGACGGCTCTGATTTTAACTTTCTCCATTTGGTCTAATTGACACACTCCACTTCTGATCAAAGTGTGTTTTATTTTACTTAATATGTGTAAAACCGCGAGTAACTCGGTCAGTGATCTTTAATAAAATATCGGTATCAATGTATCGTGTGTAAATGTCAGTGGCTAGAAGAATATCGGGCCAGGAACTTTTGATTATACCTCGTACAAATTACAAGAAATTAGTGCAACTTTTATTTATTTTCAATTTCACGATGTTGTTTAAATCCTAACAATTCGGGAAAATTTTGTTTTTGCAGGTGTTGGCCTTTTTGTGCAAATGAAAATATCTAAGAAACCTTAAAAATAAAAAGGTAACAGGGGGCCGCGTTCTTTGAACGTCACCTTTCCGTGATAATCTTTGTTAACATATTTGCCAAAACTTCACTTATGCATTTATCAATATATTAAGTCATCTTATGACATGTAAAGTTATAAACTGTACTTTTATACACTATTTAAAAAGCGCCATATTATGTCTTGAATTATATAGTGGTAAACATTTTGGGTTTTTATCTTATTTTAAACTATCTCAGTTTCAAATGTCTTCAAGTACCTGGAATTATCTTAACCACTATAACCAAGCTATATGATAATGGTCAAAACTTGCCAAATAACTTTTGGCTGTTTTTGATAATACGTGGTTCAGGGGTATCATAAATGTATTGCAATTGATGGCGACTTCTTGGAGCAGGTGAACTGTTGTCTCGACGTTGAGCATGTTGTTTGACATCGTAGAACGTTGGTGTGCCCCGAGTGATTGTTAATTGCATACTTCTTTTTATAGTATTTTATCAATTACATCGTTTTTGATTGTTATTCTGATTATTCAATAGCTGTAAGATACTCATTTTCTATGATTACAATATTATACGTGGCACTGTATAAAAATCATACAAAAATGCCTAAGCACAATTTCGCCAACTTCCTGGATAGCCCACGTACTTATTAACATAAAGTTTACAAGAAGGCGGACATGATGTCATAAGGTAACATGTGCACTTGATGCTAAAAACTATTTATCTGTCTTCTAGTTAAAGAATGTGTAAGAGAAACATGACACCCCTGATCAGCGTCTATTAAAACGAAAGTGAAAGATCCTACCCTGATTAAATTTTGTGTCGTAAATTTAATTCAGCTCTATTGCAAATATAAGAAAATGTACATACCTTTTTCAGATGGTTTTCCTGCTCCTGCTCCCATACTCGATACATTAGAGGAAAGTTTTGGTTTTTATTGTGAATTTCCTTTTATAAGCTGTAAAGAAATGAATATCGATTATGAGAATGTGTTTTGTCCGTATCTTTAAGAAGAAAAGTGTTGCGTTCAAGATAATAACTTCCGGTTAAAAGTCAATGATGTTTTATGCAATATGTTTACCGCTGCACACTTTAATAAAAATGGACGGCTTTTATTGAGTGTATAAGTGCTGTTTTTGCATATTTGAATGGCACCCGATCCGTTCTACGTTGTTTGAAAGTTGTTTTATTTTGCATAATTATGTGCATAAATATAATTTCACTTATTGTGGTTTTCGACTTTGATCAAAACATACAGGATTTTTAAAATAATTGGTGGTTTCATTACTATAGACACAATTTATAACCCAGTAAGTACTTGTGAGCAAAAACTCAGTAAGTCCTTATGTAAAATAAACTGTTCGATAGAAAATGTTACAGTAACGATATCTAAACGCATTGTAAAATGTTTTGTGGAAGATAATATGGTTAACCAGATCTTACATGTCTTAGGAATTTACAAATCAACCCGAAAGTTAAAGAACTATCCTCATTCATGTACCTTTTATTTTAGAACTATCCTTCACATTTTATTTTATAATGAGAGGAACTGTCATAAATTTTATTTTAGAGCTATCTTTAAAAGAATATTTTAGAATGGTAAGAACTGTCCTTAACATTTTATTTTAGAATGGTTAGAGCTAATGAGATTCCCTGATTTCATTTTGTAATTATTCAAAAAACGGATTGTAGATATTGTTAATATCAAGGGTCGTGTGACATTCTTATAATATTCTACGGAATTCTTTCATCCGTGTTTTTTTGTACAGGACAGTATCGCGACCAGCCATCCGTAAGGCACGGATTTAGGATCGTAATAAACCTAGAGGGAAACGAAGAAATTCCTTTGGTTGGTTTTGATATTTGTCGAAATAATTTGTGATACTAAAATTATACCTGATTATTTATATAATACATGTATAAACGTTGATCAATACATCGATTCAAAATGAGCTCGAAATGTGATTAGGCCCTTATCATTAACGAACATTGATATATGACCCGGGCGTACCGGATCCCGGGATTTTCCGAACCACTACTTGTGGCAAGTCACTGTATTGAATAGATTATTTCTCCTATTTCTTTCTTGAATTAAGATGTCAGTAATGGTTTTACATATTAAACCTAATTAGATAAGTATCTACCGTTTACTTTAAATTTTATTTCATTTTTTCTTTATTTTTAACATCTGGAGGCCTGGCTTTAAAGTCGATACATGATATTTAGACGCGACACCTTCATACGTTACACAACACGGCGATACAACAGTACGACACTTTGCGTTGATTTATTCAGGTCGTGGTCCGTATTTATTCATTCCGTTGTCCGTATTTATTCATTACGTTGTCCGTATTTATTCAAGTCGCCGTCCGTATTTATTCACGTCGTTGTCCGTATTTATTCACGTCGTGGTCCATATTTATTCATGCCGCTGTCCGTATTAATTCATACCGTTGTCCGTATTTATTCATGTCGTTGTCCTTATTCATTTATGTCGTGGTCGGTATTTATTCATGTCGTTGTCCGTATTTATTCATGTCGTTGGCCGTATTTATTCAGGTCATGGTCCATATTTATTCATGCTGTTGTCCGTATTTATTTGTTCCGTTGTCCGTTTTTATTCATGTCGTTGTCCTTCATGCCGTTGTCCGTATTTATTCAGGTCGTGGTCCATATTTATTTATGCCGTTGTCCGTATTTATTCATTTCGTTGACCGTTTTTATTCAGGTTGTTGTCCGTATCTATTCAGGACGTGGTCCATGACAGAACAAAATATTAAATATTGTCATTTTATATATCGTGTGACATTGTCATATATCGTACCGAGTACCGATAATATAAGCGACATTTGACATTTAAAGTGGCATTGACGGGATTCGTTACTTTACTGATAATGAATTAATAGCGTAAGACTTCATAAACGTGTACGATTGATCGTTAAATTATACAAAATCGATTGAATATTTACATCCGGGTTGATGGAATGTTTCAAATCGATTTTTACAGCCTACTTATCTTGAAAAGAATGAAGTGCTCGAATATAATGAACTAAAACACGGAAGAGAAACAACTCTTAACATTTACTGAAGAGAAACAATATTAAACATGTAATCTGCGGTTTGTTTTAGTGAGATCTTAAAGCCATAGCAAAACTTATTTAAAAGAATTCAAGTATGACAAAAAATATCTACATGTATCTGCTTCAATTAATCGATCATGATCTGTTCAATAGATACACGTTAGCCGGGTTAATAACAGTGTATTTTAGATAATATTATCTTTTTCTATCGATGTTCTTGTTAATCCTTAACATTGTGTTTAAAGTTTTCGACAAGATAAACTTTCAAGAGATACACGAACACCGGGTTAATGACTGTGTATTTAAGATAACCTTATTTTCTATCGAAGTGCTTGTTAATCTTAAAGTTTTCGACAAGATAAACTTTCAAGCTCTGATACTTTAACATTTAAAAGGAACTCCACTGAGGCCTAAAACATAGAAATTGAACTTCTTGAATAGATCGAATAGGGCATTTAAAACGGAAAGATATATTCAAGATATGATTAAAAATAAAGGCTCAGAATTAAATTGAAAATGGTAATTAAAGTACATGTATTTCTTATTCATATGAAATAAAAATACCATTGTTAAGTCATTGTACACAATTAAAAATGAATATTTTGGAAAAACGCAGTGAGCGATGGGTATGAAATTTTGCACACAAGTTTGTTTCATTTGTTTGATTGGGTTTTACATCACACCGACACAGTATAGGTCATATGGCGACGTTCTATCTTTACTAGTGAAGGAAGACCGTGCATTATTTTAGGCACGAACGGGCACCTAAGTAGAACCACCGACGTTCCGTAGCTGGGTAGCTTCCTAACGTGAAAGAATCCAAAATCTCTGTCGGGATTCCAATCCATATCGGTGAGGGGCAAGTGGTTTGAAGACAACGTTCTTAACCACTATAGGACACGTACGCCCCTTGCGCACAAGTAAATAGTCAAACGGTTTATCAAATGGTACGTAAGTCACCGATTCCTGTCCCGCTATGTAAAATATTTCTCAATGGAGTCCCCTCCAGGGACATATACTTTGGCTAAAACCTGTTTCATGAGCGTATACGTTTGTTCGCCATTATCAGAAAAAAGAACAAATGTTCTCAAATCAAATACACGAAGATTTTTCAATTCAAATTACATACAGCGAAGAATCATTAACTTTATGAGAATATAGGATAATTAAATAATTCAATATAAAATTATTATAATATAAATAACTTCAATTGGATAAAACAAAAGTTAAAAGAAAAAACTATAGTTATACCCCAATTGCTTATTACAGTCAAACCAAAATTAAAAACCAGAACAAATGTATGCAAACGTGTTGTCAAATCAAATCAAAAGAAATTTTCAATTCAATACACAAAGACTTATTTAATTAATGGGAAAACATTAAATAATAAACATGGGTTATTACTTACGGCTATCCACTCGTTAGGCTGTAATTTCCCTATGTTTAATACCGTTTATAGATTAAAATTTATTTACAAGTTAATTTATTGTGTCTCAGTAAGAATTTACGTACACTATCGATCTGTTAAACTGGCTTAAAGACTACGATGAAGTTCTAATTGTAAAGAATTTATCATTTGCGGTACATTTTATGTAAACCCATTGATTTGTGGGGTTGATAAATCGATTATCTATTGTAAGAGATCAATATAGACTGTAAAAACCTTGTTAACAAAACAATAAGTGTACTTATATTCTGGTTTTTTTTAAACAAAATCAGGAAGTAATAAAAGATAAAATAATGATGAAAACTACACAGATAATATGACATGACATTTTCAACATAATGGTCAAAGTTGACGCCAATATTTCTTAATGATGTGTCGCGTGCTTTTCTAATCACCACTGTGCATTTTTCAGGGAAAAATAATTTGATCTATCATTTTCAGACATTTGCCAGAACAAGTTTTTAATCAATGATTTACTCGTATTTATTAACATGTCAATTGCAAATTGATAATATCGTCATTAACATCTATAGATACATGTAAGCTTCCGGCAATATACTTGTACATTCAAATATCTCAGATTTACAACGCAATACGGTCAATTATGCTCGGTTCGTTTTTGGCCAATTCGTTTTTGCCTATCCATTCGGTTTATTTCCCGCAGACATGTATTTATACAATTTTAGCATATTTCATGTCTGAATTACGTACACAGATTTTTAATTTTATTGTTCTACCACATATTTGGCTATACAGCGAATAATTAACAATTGCGATGGACGATTTGATCAGATAAAGGTTTTGTATTCTGCTTTTATGGTGAAAGCTGTTAATTTTAATTTAACGTTGTTGATATCTTTATCGTTTTGATGTTTTAGAATTTCATGATAATCAAAAACAGAGATATTGTTTAAAATATGTATAATAAATTTAGAAATCGAACGTACTACCTCTAAAGCCCACTTATCTAACGTTTCAGAAATTACTGTTGTTTAACGGTAAAATATTAAGCGTTTTATTTTGTCAACAGTTTGGGTTCTTATTTGAGATTAATAATAATTATTGCGATTCAGATCGAAATATCCGTCCCCAGCGGACTCGTCCATCGGCAGGTTCCCGAGGGACTGATATTCCAATCCGACACGCAAACATATGTTAGATACTTTCTTCTTTTATATTCCACCATATTCTATCATATTTTAAATTCTTGACTTAAAACAATTTTCCATGGAAATTTCTGTCATTACACCATCATTACTATTTTCATACAGCAACGTATGAAATTACAACTTCATTTACAACGGCGAAATAACGTCATCCCAATTTATAGCACGCGACTCATCTAGGACCCCCATGACAGATGAAATATCCGGCATGAGTCAAATAGTTGTAAGAGCTTATGCTTATAAATGAAAGCCTAGGTTTCTATTTAGTGATATAAAACCCATATTACTCAGAGTATATCTCTCATAGTGTTGTTAACATAGCTTTTACGATTTTTTGTGGCCTACGTATTAATTTATGATTCCGTAAATTTCCTTATAACTATATTGTGTATCTTGTTTTTCAAAGCATATTTCTCGATTCAATGACAATAACTGCACTAATGTATTTTTTTCCACCGCAATGATGACTTTATTCCGCAATTAAACTCATTTTTTTAAGTGACAACTGTTTCGGGTAGCCTTCCACCCCTTAAGCTGCGGTCTCACTTACTCCCGGCAGAGCCCATGACCATCCCGGTAAGTTACCGGGATGATCAGGGACGATCCGGGGTGAAATTATTGTTGCGGACACACTTACCCCGGAAGCACTACGGTAGTTCTCAACAAACCACCCAGGATGCGCTCCGGATCATCCAGGCAGAGCCCAGGTGAAGCTACGGTTCATGCCGGTGCTTCCCAAGTCGTTCCCGGATGACGCCGGAAGAGCCCCGGTTGACCAGGGCAGAGCCCCGGTCGATCCAGGCAGAGCCCCGGCAGAGCCCAGGACGATCCAGACAGAGCCCCGGTAGAACCCCGGTGGATTGAAAACGCCCGAAAATGATAACATTGATACATAATTTTTATTTTTTTTAATATAATATCTATTGTTCCAGAAAAGTAATTCATGATGATTTTCTGAAAAATCCTTATGCCATACTGGATAGAAGGGAAATGGGAAGGGTTTTAATACAAACAAGTGCAATCATCGCAAATTGTCGTTATTCTTTTGAAATGATCCGGGCTTTGCCGGGGCTCTACCGGGATCAACCGTAGCTCTACCTTTATCCTCCGGGGCTCTGCCTGTAGTTACCGGGGCTCTGCCGGCATATACCGGGGCTCTACCGTAGCTCTACCGGTTTTATCATATCCCGGATCATCCCCGGTTTGTGCCGGCAGAGCTACGGTGCTTCCCCGGTATAACCCCGGTCGTTCCCATCAGAACTAAGGATGAAGCCGGCAAAGCTATACCTTCCCGGATCATCCCGGACCACCCCGGTGATTTTAAATATTTTATTCGGGGTCGAATGCCGGATGTTCCCGGATCATCCCGGACGTTGCCAGCAGAGTTACGGATGTACTCCGGTTGTTCCCGGTCGTACCCCGGTCGTTCCCGGATCACCCCGGACGTCTTCCGGGGCTCTGTCGGGATGTAAGTGAGACGTCCGGGGTAATCCAGGAACGACCGGGGTACGACCGGGAAAAAATGGGGTACATCCGTAACTCTGCCGGCAACGTCCTGGATGATCCGAGAACATCCGGCATTCGAGCCCGGATGGAATAAAATATCTAATATCACCGGGGTAGTCCGGGATGATCCAGGAAGTATAGCTTTGCCGGCTTCATCCTAAGCCCTGCCAGGAACGGCCGGGGTTATACCGGAGAAGCACCGTAGCTCTGCCGGCACAAACAGGGGATGATCCGGGGTATGATAACTTTCCTGGGATGGTCCTGGGCTCTGCCGGGAGTAAGTGAGGCGGCAGCTTTAAGCTGCGGTCTCACTTACTCCCGGCAGAGCCCAGGACCATCCCGGTAAGTTACCGGGATGATCCGGGACGATCCGGGATGAAATTATTGTTGCGGTCACACTTACCCCGGCAGCACTACGGTAGTTCCCAACTTACCACCCCCCCCCCCCCCCCGAGGATGCGCTCCGGATCATACAGGCAGAGCCCAGGAGAAGCTACGGTACATGCCGGTGCTTCCCAAGTCGTTCCCGGATGACAACGGAAGAGCTCCGGTTGACCCTGGTAGAGCCCCGGTCGATCCAGGCAGAGCCCCGGCAGAGCCAAGGACGATCCAGACAGAGCCCCGGTAGAACCCCGGTGGATTGAAAACGCCCGAAAATGATAACATTGATACATAATTTTTATTTAATATAATATTTATTGTTCCAGAATATTAATTCATGATGATTTTTCTGAAAAATCCTTATGCCATACTGGATAGAAGGAAAATGGGAAGGGTTTTAATACAAACAAGTGCAATCATCGCAAATTGTCGTTATTCTTTTGAAATGATCCGGGCTTTGCCGGGGCTCTACCGGGATCAACCGTAGCTCTACCTTTATCCTCCGGGGCTCTGCCTGTAGTTACCGGGGCTCTGCCGGCATATACCGGGGCTCTACCGTAGCTCTACCGGCTATATTAACCCCGGATCATCCCCGATGTGTGCCGGCAGAGCTACGGAGCTTCCCCGGTATATCCCCGGTCGTTCCCGGCAAAGCTAAGGATGAAGCCGGCAAAGGCTTAGGCCGCTATTCCATTGGTACGCGATCCGTGACCCGCGCCCGTGATCCGTGTCCGGTGCATGTCCGTGAGTATTATTCCATAGGTACGTATTAATTTCTATATATTTTTAATTATAGTATAGCGAACAGAGGATAATTATTTGTAGAATATGATACAATTTCATTGTAATACCAAAACCAGTTGTAACATCAAAGAATTAGGTAAAAAGAAAAAGGAAAAAATATTGAATACCAGTTAGGTTTTTGAATAAGATCTCTTTAGCAACCGAAGACCAGATGTTTTTTTAATCTGTCATTGGTGCATCATAAACTTATGGGTTCTCCGTGACCTATTTAGTATTTTCGTTCAAAATTGATAAAGTATTTAATTTCGTTCGAGGCATTTTGTCGTGACGAGACCTGTGCGTGACTGTCCGCGTCTGTAAAAATCGCTCATCCTGCGAAACGTCGCGGATGCCGTCGTGGAAGCGGATTGTAAACGGACAAAAGGAATATATTCATTAGCGAATCGGTAGCGTACGCGGATGACGGACCCGGACCACTGATCACGTATTAATGGAATAGCGGCCATTGACTTGACTGAGTATATAGATTTTTTTCACCATATTTCTACTGCGTTACTAACACAGTAATAGCTATTTTTATATATCAACAGTTCAGGGTTCAATATTGTAATATACATTGTACAGATTTGCTCCTTTTCTTTATTCCATATGAAATGAACTGAATGAGATTAATGTATTATATATGTTTTTTCTTCAAAACATAATATCATTATTTCGATATATCTACAACACACGTTGCCAGGATCGAGCACAGCAGGCCAGGTGTGGTAACTGAGGAAAACTCCTGATGATGTCAGACAATATTACGTTACCCGGATACTGCATGCTCTACATTTGCAATCGTTACCTTGGCGTCTCATTTGACAAACACAAAAATACTTGTATAGGTATATTCGTGCAACAAGTCGTCACATATACTTAAGATGGCTTACAATTGACACGGTACTCTTGAACAATAAAAAATGCGAGCTTCGTTGTTAATTTTACGTACTAAGTAAGATACATGTATAAAGGAGTATATGTCAAGCAAAACGATGATTCAGTTTCATCACGTTGTACTTTTAATGACGTCGTCACTATCGTCAAATAAACGACGTCACTAATAACATTCAAATACGTCATAAATCAAGTTTTCTTTATCCAAAAATAATAAAAATTGTCTTGAATGATTAAGAAAAGATTGCATTTTGAGAATCATTGAAAAAATAAAATGTCAAATTTGACCACTATGTTTGAAATATCATGTCACGGTTCATATTTTTTTTCGTTTCAAATAAAAAAAATATTGTGCAACGGAAATGTTTAATATACGAAAATCAGTATTCATACTCTGACCGCCATATTTGGCAACTGATGTTATTCTAAGAAGTTGTTTTAATCTACTCGATTTTCAAAATGTTCTAAAAATATCTTTTTATTTTACAGTGAATAGAGAAACTTGAAACTTGAAACATTTACTGCAAGATATTCCTGCGTTACAGAAATACACGGTGATAGGCAATACTAAGTTGTTTTTTGTTGTTGTTTTTTTTTTGCTTGTATGGATACTATGATTCAGCTATCTTTTGATATTTTTGGATCTCATCATCTGTTGTCCATCATCTGTTGTCCATTGTTTTTGTTTCGTTGTAAAATAGCTCATACATTAGCATAATATAAGACCCATAGCTGTGACTTTAAGCAAATGATCAAAAGTGACCAGCAAATAGGCTTTTGAAAAAACGATTTTCTCTAATATATTTGCATGTACTTACTGATTTTTGTGGCCAGTTCCTAAGCGCACTGTCTGCCACTTACTGTGCCGATTCCAATTGACAAGAACTTGTTGGAAATATGTTTGCCTCCAATTTACGCTATATGAGATCTCTTGCATTGCTCTATTATCAGTGCCAGGAAAGAACTGTGATAGTTTAGTGTTATCCCATGTGGCTAGTTCTCTCATACATTTTAGCACTTCAATATGATATTCTTTATGAACCTATTAGCACTGAAACTAATAATCCACAAAGGTATAGGTATCACTGTGTTTTACCAAAAGTCTTCACAAGAGCACCATATTTTTGTCGGTAGCCGCGGCAAGCAACAGTGATCACCTTGTGCGGTAGAATATTCTTCACGTGATATTACACAAATCAGCCGCTCCATGACAAAACCAACAGTGCCTTCGCGCAGTCTGATCAGGATCCATGCTGTTTGCAAACCCATTATGTTGGTTTTGTCATGGCGCGGCTCAATTTTAATTATTATGTATGTACTCTACAGATTAATTGCATGTAGTTTAAGTCATGCTGTTGACATTTATTTGATTCGTAGATCGCAACAAACAGGTGTGGCTTATAATCAAGACTTTTGAGGTTCGGTGCGTGCGATTTTTCAAATAACCTTTGAGTGCAATAGTTACATTAACTTGTGTTTTGTGAGAAAAATTGGATGAATAACAGACTTTAGTTATTTAAACTTCTATACTCCTGTACCCATAATGATATGCAAAATGAATTCTTTTTCATAAAGTCGTATTAATTCAAAGATAAAATATAGAACACTGTTTTTATCGACTTATATTTGTATAAAATTCAAAGATCAAGTTGTTATGGTATTACAGTTATATAAAATACAAAAGTAAAAATGACTAAGATACAAACCGTAAAACACAAACTGTTGTATAAAAATTAAATATTAAACGAATAATATATCTGTTTTCATAAAAAAATATTTATATTCCAATTAAAATTCATATATAAAACAAACAATCAATGAGCTATGCATCTTGATACAGAACCCCGTTATCTTAATATATATTCAAGTTTTCGTCTAATACGTGAAGAGAAGACTTTATTCATAATATAAGTAACATAAGCAACTGTTTCTGAATAAATAAAACTATGTTAAGCCAAAATTCTTTTAGTTTTATTTTGATACTGACGAAGATATTAGACTTGATAGTCAGTAAACAAAAGTAGTAATGACAGAAACAGTTTACAATAACGCACAAGGAGGTCATAAATGTCCTGTTGATAACTTTTTCATATAAAAAAGCATTAATGATTTCATAACATAATGCTTCAGCGTTTTACAAAGTAAACAAAAATTTGTGTCAAGAAGTTCATTTACATAATATACGTGTATACATAATAATTCATATGTATAGTAAGCCTGGTGCCTTTTTCACAACTGCGTCACAAATATATTGACAAATACAGATCAAGAATATGGTCATGGAATGAAATAGGAAGAATTCAGAGACAATATTTGAACCAAAGATTTAACCAGAGCTGTTATGTTGCACGTAACAGATATCAAATCCCCTGTGCCGGATTAAAAATAGTCAAATGTACCTGTTTCAATCGTTCATAAACAATGACTTTACCCAATAAAAATGGAACAAAATTACACCTATAATATACAGTTGCCATATATAGTTTAACCATACAGTAATTCTTACAAAAAGAATAGTATTGTAGATGCAGACCAGAAAGTGGTTCGTACTCAAAGTCACAGCATTGGCAGAATCCAGAGTCCATTAGATTGTGATTCTAAAAACCGAACTACCAAATGAAATTGTAAAAAAGTCCATCTAAATTTCAATCATGGTGGTACATTTACATGTAATTTAATTACTAACACATCCTTATAGCAAAAGTACATGGCCATAATTGCTACGCAATCAAGAAAACGATGTAGACAGAAAAGTAACTGTGTTTAGAAATGTATGTTTCTCCTCTGTTACATTTACTCTTCATAAGTGTATTATTAAAGAATTACTGTGCAGCTTTTTCGTGCTGCTTTAAAAATCTGTATCAAATGTAAAGCATTATATATATGAAAAATTAACGTGCATATACAAAAAAAGCTTCAAAGCTATTTATCAAAATGTGTTAGTTTTTATAAACAGATTAAAAACATGTCTCAGTTCATTCTTTTCACATTTCATTGATATATTTGTTAAAATGTGTAAACACTCCTTACTAAAAGAAACCGTAATATATGTAAACGTTGCAATAGGCAAAATCTCAAATGTCTTTGGCTCCATCAGATTAAAATTAACATTTAAGATATTCATACCGTATCATGTAACGGCATATGTCCGCAAAGTGAAAGTTTTGAGTGGGCATACTTGGTAAAAGTCAGTCATGGTTGCCTGCTTTCACGGAGCAATACAGCCATATTAATGAATAAGGACATATATAAAAATGAAATGTTTCTTAGAAGATACACATCAAACATAAGAATTAGTAAACTAATCATTAATTTCTGATATTGCTTTGAAATTGAAAATCAATAACCAGATGTATATTTTTGTTTTAGGTTTCCAATCAAAAAATATTTGATAACAGGTTCACGAGCAAAAACAACAGTTTTTTCTGTATAACAAACTTCCTTTAAGAATATTCAATCAAGTACTCAGGGTATGCTTGGGTATCATGAAAGATCACATATATGCTTGGTGTTTTGCCATTACTGTCAGCTGCACTATCGTAACATACAGGAAAGTTATTGAAGGTAACTCCTGGTCTCTGAGGGAGTACTTCCACCGATGAATTTCCAAGACAATGAACACCTACAAGCACTCTGTTTAATAACATTCGTTTGACACCATTCACATCCGGTTGTGCGTATCTGTTGTTGTCTGAATATGCTGACTGAACAGCAAAGTATGCTCCTTTTCCATACGCACACACTGAAAATACAAATTCAACAAAATTGATAGTAAGGTAAAGATAAGAACGAAATAATAGTAGTATCTTTTGATCTCACATTTAATGTCACTGTGACCTTGACCCACTAACCACAAAATCAAAAGAAGCGAGATGTCTTTAAGATTACTCAAAAACATTGTGTGCCCTTTTTATTGGTAGCATAATGATAATAGGACAGGCGAACGTCCGTTCGTATATAAGTAGAGAAATTCGGACGGACCGTCCTTTACAGTATAACCCCCACTTTAAAAAGGAGAGCATAGATATTCTAATTTTGATAAATGCATAAGAATAATACTAATCAACCATGTAACATGATTACAGTATATATTCCATTCCTTGAATGCATTCAAACAAAGTAGTGAAGGTGCCGTAAGCATTGACAAATAGTCTCTCACTGAATACAATTGTCACAGAAAGGCTTTGACAGGGTACTAAGACATAAAAACAAATAAAAATGTAGTTTTTCAAAGTCCATATCCCGTCTCTACGACCATTTTGATGATAAAGTATGATATTCAGTAAATAGGTAAATAGTATTCTATTAATTATGTTGAATATATTAATTAATCTTTTTGTAACATTAAAATGGAGTAAGGATAATCAAATGTTGATAGAACAACGACAATTAATTGCTACTACATATGTACCATGCTAAAGACTACACTATTCGAATGGGATGAAACCAATATCTTAAAATGTTGAAGCATATAGCTATATAAGTGCATCACTTCAGACAAAATGGACCTGTTGCACAAGAAGAGCTTTCTGATAATACAAAATACTGGGAATACAAAAGTGAATAAGTGAGAAATTACTAGAAAGGAAGAACACATACCTGAAGTAAAGCTACGGTCATATCCATGTTTGACAATTTTTGGAACAGTATCGATGTCTGTCCCGTGCCAGAGCTGTCTTTCGTTTTGTATATTAGGATTTTGAGATTCCATTTGTTTCTTTTTGGTTTGGTATTGTTGCCACAAAAATTTATTTTCTATTCTGGATATCTAAGAATAGATTTTAAAGAATGAAACATGTGTATTTTGGGTAGTTTATTTCCATTTACGAATTTTAAATATTGTCAAGTCAATGTAATACATTTCTACTTTATATTTCTAAATAAAACAAATGAAATGTTATCTAACACAATGTCACAGCCACATTTAGAAAATATATACTAATTACCGATTAACAAGCAACAAATGCTGATCTTAAAACAATTTACGGGCATATTACATATGCACACTAAAATCGTAAAGTAATGATTTCTGACCTTAAACAGACATAAATTTACATAAAGTAACTAAATTATGTTAAATTGAGTTTGTTTATTTGATGTTAACAATACGAAATCTTCAATCTAAAATTTGATGTGACTTATTTCAAAGATGTCATTAGACGTCAACTCACGATAAAATGTAAGGAGTGAATTAGTTTGTTCCTGCATATATCCATACATAAAGGTAATTTTCAGATAAAATAAATATTTCTACCACTGAAAATTGAAATACATTGTTCCCTGGTCAGTCAGGTAAGTGAATCTATGTTTGTAGAAGTCAACAATGTATGAAGTTATAGGATTTCACACTGTCACTTGGATTTCATCACAAGTTAGATTGTTAATTCGTTTTAGAATTATCATAGAATGTCAGATCCTTACAATTCCATTTGTGCCAATCAGTTTTCAATATATCATTAAACATTACTGTTTTTATAGACCTCTATTTTGCCGTTCCTTTTTCTAATATTTATATATGGACATTTTCAAATACAACTTACGCTTCCGATCTTTTTCGGTTGACATCCTCCCTTGATAAATTTGTCTTTTACCTCGTTGAATTCTGCATCAGTCTCCTTAAGTACAATTTGCTCAAATGTTTTATTTCCGTCAAGTGCAATCGTCCAGTTGTCAGGCAGGGGAATTTCTTAAATCAAAACAATATATATATTTATCATAAATTATTTAAATTAGTATGTGATTGATTATTCTGCATTTGAATGTTCTAAGAACTTTAAGTACAAATATAAAAAAAAGAAAAACAGAATCCATAGAACTCGCATAGGAAGGCCAAAAGATGATGTTGCAGGTTCGGTTTGGTTTAGCCTGTTCATTTGTGGTAATAATTAAAACACGATTTTGACAATTTCAAAAAGTAACATATTCAAATGCATAAACACAATGTCTCTTATCACAAAGTTCCATGATTTCTTGATTGGTTTTTTACGTTGCAATTATTTAATATTTATAGTAATTTTAAAAAAGTAGGGAAGAGCATAATTTATATGTTAAATGCTCATACTAGATTGACATAGTAGATATATGTATGTTTTAGCTACATCGTATATAAAGTCATCTTTTATGTGAAGCTAATGTCTTGTTATCCTATAGATACTTATCTATTGTAACTTTTATGTACATTGTAAATAAACTGTCTTCTCATTTTTTCTTTGTTTGAACTTACGTTCATCAACCTTCGTTCTAAGATAAAGACGCCTTTTCTTTCTCGGGTCATCTATCGGGTGTTCCATCATGTCATTGATGAGCACTTTGTACGTTTTATTCTCTGTTTGGTTCTCATATGTAAAATCGTTGCCATTACCGTTGAGATAGTTCATGTGTATCTCGTAATTATCCGTGACATCAACGGGGAGAGAATTTCCATCAGCTGAATGTTAAATATGAAACTTAAAATGTATACATGTTATCAATAAGGATAAAAATACATTGATTCATAGTTTAGTTCATACTGAAGAATAACATACATGTATTCATGACATGTACATGTATGTCATAAAATGAAGACTTATCAATTATATGGTTATATTGACATGTGTCTGATATAACAATGGTGTGTTTTACAAATACATAGGGAAATTCTATTAATGTGTTATTCTGATAGGTTGTATTGCTCGTGCTGATTGTGCAAAATTGTGTTCTAACGAGCCCGTAGTGTGTGATATTTTTGAGGAATTGAAATCAGCAAAATTATAAACAGATTTACAATCAAATATTGTTATAAAGTCTGACGCATTAAAACACGAGTAAAGTAACAAGTACCATCGGCAAAGTACCACTGCACTGTCTCCGCAATCGTTTCTATATTCTTTGACTTCAAACGCATCTTTGGGAATGTTTCCCTCAACAATTCAACCGCTTTAAAGTGGCATTCACTCACACGGTCCGAGAGTCCCGAAATCTTCACGAGTTTTGACTTTTTATCAATCTCTATGTTAACACCATAACTCATCTCTAAGGTTTTTAAAGACCGTTCCTAAAAAAACATAAAAAAATGATTTATATACATTCATTGTGTATATATATTTATATTGGAAGCTATTATCTCTTTGTAATAATTCAGAAATATTTCCAGCTCATTTATTGATGTATTCATTGATCATATCAAAATTGCATGCAATCGGTTTGAATGAGTCTGCACATGAAGGAAAATGACAAAGTGCAACATCACTCATGCACCAGCTTTTAAAAGCGGTACTCAATTTTCAACACTTAAAGTGCAATGATCCTGAAGGGCCAGAAAATATGATAACACTGGCAACTTTTAACAGCTGCCACATGACACTTGACTTCTGCTCTTGATCATTTATTTCAAAAGCACATTTAAATATTCATCTTAACCGCAAGATGCGCCTGATGATCTTTTCCATGTCTATTTGTCATATTGAGGGTGAGAGGTGGATGTCTGCTGAAACTGGTGGTGATATTGTCATAGGTTGTCATCACCTGTTATGACATTGACTGACAAAATCTTGGAATTGACAATTGCATAAAATCTAATCAGTTTTTTTTTAATAATGCTTATCGATTCAAAAAGATTTATCTATTTAGCATATACATATATACAAGAGGGCCATGATGGCCCTGAGGTCGCTCACCTGTATATAGCCCCCCCCCGGGCCAATTTTTACCCAAGGGCTTTTATTTGAACAGACTTGGTAGACACCCATAAGAAGATGTTTCATGCTAAACATTTTAGTTCTAGCTCATTGGGTTTTTTAAAAGAAGTTTTTTAAGTTTTTACTATACACATATAGTTAAAAACAATGACACCCCTGGGGCAGGGCCAGTTTTGACCCCCGGGCTTTTATTTGAACAAACTTTGTAGATATTTACTTAAAGATGTTTCATGTATAATATCTAAACTCAAGCTATTTGGGTTTTTTCAAAGAAGATTTTTAAGTTTTTGCTATACACATATAAGGAAAATCAATGACCCCCGGGGCGGGGCCAGTTTTGACCCCAGGGCTTTTATTTGAACATACTTGGTAGACACCCATTAGAACATGTTTCATGCTAAATATCTTAGCTCTAGCTCTTTGGGTTCTTTAAAAGAAGATTTTTTAAGTTTTTACTATATGCATATAGGAGAATCAATGACCCCCTGGGGCGGGGCCAATTTTGACCCCAGGGCTTTTATTTGAACAAACTTGGTAGACACTCATTAGAAGATGTTTCATGCTAAATATCTTAGCTCTAGCTCTTTGGGTTCTTTAAAAGAAGATTTTTTAAGTTTTTACTATATGCATATAGGGAAAATCTATGACCCCCTGGGACGGGGCCAATTTTGACCCCAGGGCTTTTATTTGAACTAACTTGGTAGACATTCACTAGAAGATGTTTCATGCCAAATATCTAAGCTCTAGCTCTTACGGTTCTTTAAAAGAAGATTTTTTAAGTTTTTACTATATGCATATAGGGAAAATCAATGACCCCCCGGGGCGGGGCCAATTTTGACCCCAGGGCTTTTATTTGAACAAACTTGGTAGACACTCACTAGAAGATATTTCATGTCAAATATCTTAGCTCTAGCTCTTTGGGTTCTTTAAAAGAAGATTTTTTAAGTTTTTACTATATGCATATAGGGAAAATCAATGACCCCCTGGGGCGGGGCCAATTTTGACCACAGGGCTTTTATTTGAACAAACTTGGTAGACACTCATTAGAAGATGTTTCATGCCAAATATCTAAGCTTTAGCTTTTACAGTTCTTTAAAAGAAGATTTTTTAAGTTTTTGCTATATGCATATAGGGAAAATCAATGACCCCCTGGGGCGGGGCCAATTTTGACCCCAGGGATTTTATTTGAACAAACTTGGTAGACACTCATTAGAAGATGTTTCATGCCAAATATCTAAGCTCTAGCTCTTTGGGTTCTTTAAAAAAAGATATTTAAAGATTTTTCTTTCGGTTGCCATGGCAACCAGAGTTCTGCATGAAATGGAATTCTTTGAACAATCTTGATAGAGCTTCATACAAAGAGTATTCCTGCCAAGTTTCATTAACATTGGCCTTGCGGTATCATAGAAGATGTCCTTAGAATATTTAAAATGTGGACGGACGACTGACGACGGACGCCATTTGGTTGGCCATACTAAAAGCTCACCTGCACTTTGTGCAAGGTGAGCTAAAAATAAAAACGAACAAAAACCTCAACTTCTGTAAGAGTTTTTTCGTTTGATAATTCCTGGAAATTCAACTTTTCTTCTTTCACTTGATGTTTAACTATGTCTTGAATCTTCTTTTGAATCTTTTCTCCGTTTGTTTTCGAAACAATTTTAAAAATCACAACGTCATCTACCTCAGAATGTTTGTCAAAAGATGGTGGCGACACATATCGGAAAGTTTTATGTTTCTGTGGCATCTTTGAACCTTCGGTATAAATATATCTTATGTAGAACATGATTTTCTACCAAAAAACATAAGAATACTTATGTGGAAGGTTAAAAATAAATTTACACGATTAGAAAGAACATGAAATATTACGTAACTTTATCTTAATCTTTATGCCTTTTTACCGAGATATTTCTTTAAGAAGTCATACACTAGTCTCTCTCGCTAGATCATTATGTCTCAAGTCAGTCTCGTACAAACACATGCAGGCGTGTAAATAATTAGCATATGGTTTTGTTTGGTGCTTTTAATTTAAAACAGAACACTCAAACTAGTATATATAGATATAGTTCTTTTTTAATTCATAAATGATTTAAATGTTAAATGACTTCAACTTTTCAAAAATGTATGGAAAATATCATACAACTAATTATCAATTTATGAAATAAAATTCATGTAGAAGATATTGTATTACCTTTCTTGCTTATGATCATTCCAGCTCTGTGATTGTCGATGCTGCTGAAGCAATGCGGGATAACATCTTCAAATATCTGTGTAAAAAGAACGTAAATGCATGGAAAAGGACAATAGAGTATGCAGATATTTTCCATATCTTATAATCTTTGTACTTATGCATAATATATTCATTATACATATTTTTAATGTTCTTGCAATCATTTATCTTTGAATGTAATAAATCACAATATTTTTTAACAAATTGCGCTAAAGACTTTGACTCTTTCATGACCAGAAACAAAACAGCTAACATACAGAAAGTTTCATGCTTAACTTTGTAGGTTTGTATTGGGCATTAATGATTTTACCTTAGATATGCCATCGTCCATCGAATAAATGACAATGAAAATATCAGTGAGCGGAGAGTTTTCATTTTCAACTTCACAGATTGACTTCACCATAGCATTTGCAACTTTGTCAGCAGGAAATCCTGAATGTCCCGTTCCTATTGTAGGAAAGGCAACTGAACAGCAGCCATAATTGATTGCTTCAGCGAGACAAGTTGTTACCAAATCACTGACAAACTAAAAGGTATAATGGACATTATTTCGAATATTTCGTTCTAGAACTGTTTCAGGTTTCAATTCTGTAGTAAACTGTATGCAGGTCAATGGCTGATAGTTTAGGATGACTTTATTTTTTATATGAAACTACATAATTACATAATTTCTACCGTAAACATAAACACGCATCTTTTTTAATTAATTTCACACTTCTTTATCATCATAACAAGGGTCTTTATGTTTAAATAATGAAATGTTAAAAGAACAGTCATAGCAAAATACATTTCTTACTTTTTCACCGTTATGTGAATCCCATCTCATCGGAATCCTAGCATGAATGACTTGTTGGCATTTCAAACGCCCAGCTCTACTAGATTTGACTTCACCCACAGAAATTTTCCCTAAGTTCTGACATTCTTGCCTAATTGTATTTCCGCCGGCTTTTAATATTGCTTTTGAAATTTCACCTGTTAAGTTAGGAAACTCGGACGTTGTGTTTACTATGGCGTCTACCTGTAATTGATAGTTATGCTTTTAAAATTATTTCAAATGAGGGAAACAAAATATAATTATGTTAAAATATAAATTAATTCCAGATAAAAAATGATTCACGGTTGTTTTAATATATTTAAAATTTTATTGATATTTTCAAACCATAAATTTTATTTACAAATTAGCAGAATAAGATGAAAAGAATTCTTCGAACATAAAAAAATTCTACCTTTTGTTTGGTCAAATCACCTCTTAAAACATGCAAGGTTAACTTCTCTGATAAAGGTATTTTGTATGGAAGACCACCTGATAGAAAATATTTATATTTGATAATTTTGATATAGACTTTGCATTAAAGACTTTTTGGGAGTTTTCATATAGACATATAGGCAAAATTAAAACTGTTCAATAGAATTTCTTTAACTTGGCATTTTGTTAGATAATGATAAAAGAAGTATATTAAGATGGGAAAAGATGAAGTAAACGTCGTCATTTAAGAGATATTTGCCCTTGAATTGGACTTTTTGCTAATTTTTTACCTTTTATACAAAGAAATGAAATCCAAATTCATCCCTTACCTCCAAACAAATTGCTTTTGTCTGCATCATATTTCTTCTTATCGTGTTGGTTAACAGGCTTGATAGCATGAGCATTCTTTTTGAAATAAAATGATTATAAAACTTGCAAATGTAGATGCGTTAATGAAGGTATTTACAATTTTGTGAATGTTCATTGTAAATATACAGTTTTAATATTTTTAATATTATTTTTCGTTTTATTATCGTTTAATGTCTTCAATGGTAAATTATTCAAACGATATCAAGAACTTCTTTGTAGTTTTCCTCGTAATCGCGTTCTGCATTGATGAAAATATAAGACATTTCTATTAAAACATATGTGTACTCATATATTACCTGCCTTCCCCATTTAAGCCCAGTTCTTGGACTATCTAATGGTTCATCACGGCCCGAGTTTGGTCGAATCACTAACTTACTTTCGGCTTTTCTGATTGCTGTAACATAAAAAGTATCATAACAGTGTCCAGCATGAATGTCGTATATTTGTAAGCATACATTGCTGAAATTTGATTAAAAAGCCATAAACTTATTAACCCATTTTATTTATTTAATAAAAAAAAATGTGATAGTTTTACTGTCAAAGACATCTTTGAAATAAAACGTCAACATGTAATTTTATTAGAATACATTTATTTGACATTTATTTGATGGTATATGATATTAAGAACATTAAAATATGTAACTTTAGATATATTGTCGCTTACAAAGTATGCAAACAAATTTTATTAACACAACAAAATTAAGATACAATATGTACAAAGAAATTAATTCTGAAAATAGAATCCAATCAGAGCAATAGATACCAAATAATAGCATTTGTTGATCTAATTAGCAATTATAACAAGCATCGAATAGTTTAACAGCTCTTATACAATTTGCAAATGCGTTAACTGATTTCAATCCCAACAGCACCAATGAGTACTAAATCAAGTGATTTAAAATTAATAGAAATGAGAGATGAAATTCGCGGCGACTATATAGCTACCATTAATAGTCACAGTCTGATGTGATATATACAATAACAAATCTTACAAGATGACATGAAATTCTCCACTTGTATAGGTTTTCCATGTTCAAAGAAAACCCAGTGAGAGCTTTTGAGTTTTCCAAGAGCTTCTGTAAACTTCTTCACTGCAGCTTCTGACATATCACAAAGCACTACTTCCTTGATTACCGCATCTTTTGTCTGAAATAAATGATATTTATTGATAGCCTTTGTAACCGTCTGGTACGTATCAACTAATGATAAGAATAAAAATGTAATTATTTGTTTAGATAAATTTTTAAAAAAATCTGAGTATTGGATACGGTAGGATAGTAATCAGCAACAATTATTTGCTTTTCTATGTTTAAACATGTTTCATTTTAGTTAAGACATTTTATTGATGTTATATCAGCCACATTTCAGCTTAAGTTATTGAAATAGGCTCCAATTGCTCATCTGCAATGTTTTTAACGTTTTCATGTCCAAAATACATATTGAACAACGTAAAACAGTAAGCCATTTGTGTAAAGTCGGTTATGTCTTTCTAAAGAGTATAACTTAAGCAAGTGGGCCAACAAATTATTATTTATCCGGGCAGAATCAACTTTTTCATGTGGCACATAAATAAACATTGCAGGAAACTTCCGTTAGCTTTAAATGTGTATTGCTGAATATGTTTTGCCAGAAACTAACACTGTATAAGAGTAAGGGTTAATTCATTTCATTTATCATTATAAATTGTGTAATAATTGTTGATTTTCTTTTTCTTTTTTAATTCAAAAGTATTTGTAAAAAGATTTTACAATGGATATTGTGCAAATTAAGCTTATCAGTCAAAACTCTTTTCACTTACTGACCTTTATTTTTCCAGTTATTTTGTGTACCGAAAAACGTTTTGTAACAACAAGTTGAAAGAAAACGATGAAAACGATATAACGATAAACTGTTGGTTAATTGATATATAAGCTATAGTTTACCGTAATATCGTTTTCTACTTAAAAATACTTCTCACATTTTCAATGAAATCAGCTATTGCTTCTACAATATTAGACGTTGCTCTGTCTTCAGGATACTTTCCAGCGCCACATCCAATTGCCGTAAGAGACACTGATGCAAGTTTCTTGTCTTGACATGTCTGACGAATAAACGCATTACTTTGTGAAAAAGATAATAAGAGCAATCCAACATCTCTAGACATTGTAATGTTAATCATCAAGGAACTAGCTTAAATTGTACTGAATAGTCCTTTCTTTCACTATGTTTTTCTAGCTCTAATTTTTGTAATTAGATATTTATTTCTTTAGTAGATCTTTGGGTTTTTTGTTAGACCAGACAGATACAAGCTTCTTTTTGTGCAAATAATATTATGCTTAATAATATCATGCGGAAGTAAGCAGATATACTTACATACAGGGTTCTTTAGAAATTCACGGCATACTCTTTGTAGGTGCTGTGATTCCTAATTGATTAAATATTTCTTGAAAATTGAACAGCCTTACAAATGACATCGGACACTTCAATTCAAATATAATGAAATCAATAATATCGCGGCGGTAAATGATTACTTCAACTATTGATATGATGAAATACTGGGCTTACTTTTAAACCAAATGTTTATATTGGTCACATCTTCAAAAACAATGAAAATCATTGAATGAACATAAGCTCAAAATGTATGTATTGATACCTGCAATATTTTTCGAACTAGTGCTTTCAGCTCCTTTTCTTCTGAATTATTTCCATTTATCCATCTTATAGGGAATACATGAATAACATTTAAACAACGAAGTCGCCCAGACTCAGTCACAATCAGATCTCCCTTTCTGAAGCCATTGTTGGAAGGATCATCATATCCCTGTTGTTCTTCATTGTCTGGACGGCTTTGTATGACCTGTTTCTGTAATTCAGCGTCGGTGTCTCTGTATAATTTATCTTTATCACCGTTTCTTGATCTTTCTTCAATAGCTCGTAGCAGCTCGTCCCTGATTTCTGTTCCACCTACAATATTAAACAGTTTTTCAGGCTATGTAATAATTGAGGTTGTTACCACGTTAAAGTGAAATTTCATATATGTATATAATTATGCTTACAAAACAATTTTCAAACATCAAAGAATATGTTTATTATGTACTGCAAATATTTGTGCACATTATATGTATGCATTCATTTCTTATTGATAAATTTGACTTAGAATTTCTAATTACCTCCCTTTATTTAAATGAAATGTTGAATTCGGTAATATCTTTATAAATAATGCTTTTTTGGAACTTAATATATGGAAAGATCTTAATTTGAGCATAAAACCAAAAATCGTGTTGCAGGATCTTTAAAATAAGTACTTTGTTGTCCACGCATGTTTCTTACTTGAGTAATTGTAACTTTGTCTAAGAATAATCCTTCACATAAATAGATAACAAAAGTAATTCGTGAAAAATGTAATCTTTTATAAAATGGTAATAAATGGATCGTGTGTTTACCAATATTTTGCAAGCTTTTTCCTATTCCGTTGTTGAATGCATTAATATGTCCATTCGTAGAGTGAACAATCGCTGCTGTTGTTTCAAATGTGATGTCACCTTGCTTGACTTGGATAATTGTACCGCTTTTAGGAAAAACAGCAATCCCTGTAATACAATGTCCGGCCAGACTTTCTCCTATATAAGCTTCCAGTAAAAATCGTTCATTATGTGATAAGGTCTTCAGGTCTACAAGGTCTTGGATAACACTGGCTATCCATTTCTCCTTCATAATGAACCAATGTTGTTTTATTTCTTTTACATCCTTTTCTATTACTTTCTGCAAACGATTAATATCTTCTTCGGGTAAGCATTTAAGAGATAGTTTTCCAGTGTACAAACCGTTTCTGTCTTTCACACATTCGATATGATCCCGGATATCGTCACTCTTAAACTCATCTAGAAACATTGCAATTTCTACTGGCACGCGCATCGTTACTGTTCCAAGTTTGTGACGTTTAAGATAGTTTTCAACCTCAGCTTTAGCAACATTGACTGTTTCCTCTGTACCAATAATTGTTATAATACGGTTGTTTGATGGTTCCAATACAACTACAGCACCATTTGCTTTCTCATGAATCTCTTCCTTACAGTGTTTCCAATCTGTTGTAACAAAATTACTCAAGGGTTCTTCTTTGTCAACACAAATGTCATGTGTTTTTATAAAATTTCCAATGATATCTAACATCTTGTTTTTCTTCTTCTCAATAGGTTCATTCCCTTTGTAAATCATTACAATAATTGTATTTTTCGTTTCAGATAAAATGAGGTTATGGTTCAAGTTTACTTTACGGAACTGTTCTTTTAGTAGTTCAAGACCCCCTTTCCGCAAAAATTGAACATGTGCCTCCTCTATACGCAGTTCAACAGATTGAATACATAGAGCAAAATTCAATATACAATGTTGAGCAGCATTCACTTCATCAATTGGACCCTTTAGAGTGATAATTCCCGTCTCTGTATTCACCTTAAAAGATGTATAAGGACATTTGGTTTTCACGTCGTTTAGAATTCCTTCTGCGTCTAACGCTAAGTATTGTGGTACTATGTCTTTTATCGATTCACTCACGATATGTGGAAATAACACTTTTGTTCCAGCCTTTTTAGTAACTTCTTTTAAAATACTCTCGCTTGATCCGCATATAATTATTTTGTTGTTCTTAATGTCTTTCTCATATTCAAAGTTGTATTGTCTCTTCAGATCATTTAATTTATCCGTGACATCAACTTCGAAATCCAATGCCACTTCATATATTGTGGTTTGTAAATAAGTTGATACTTCTGTCTTTGTTATATCTTTCCAATTTGCTGACTTTTTCCAATCCGACTTGGAACCACAAAACTTAAAAGTTAATGAGGTCTCATTGCCAAACGAATTTTGTTCATCGTCAACCTCGAATTCATCGAAATTATCTTGTTGCTCCCAAGTAATGTCAACATTAATTGTTTTATTCAAAGCATCCACAAATGATTTCTTTTCTGAATTTCTTGACTTGATAAACCTAGTAAATATATACTAAGCAATATAATTATATGCTAAGTTTATATATTAAGAAGATAAATAATTCTCGTCATAAACTTGTAGTAAATATATGTCATGAAATTCAATGTTGTTAAATACGATGATGATATACATGATAGAAAATCAAAAAAAAAGCAGGAAATTATAAATACATTTGCTTTGATACATAAGATTTGTGATTAACCTAATGCTTTATTGTTTAACACTTTAGAAGAAAGCATGTTAGAAAATAAAAGACAATGTCAAATTATTTAGTTGCATATGTGCGTAACTATTTGTGATACTATTCAAATCATAAAGTGAAATGTCAAGAAAAAATACTTTAAGAAGTTTAAAGCTCTGTAACCGATTGGATATTTGTTTGTTTCTTGATAAAATAATCATACAAAAATTAATACTTATATTGAAAATATGATTCTGAATAACCGCTAAAGCGGCTGGGATATACACGTTAACTTAAGGTCATAGTTCTTTTTATAGTCTAGTGCATCAACGACCAACAACATTTGCATGCTTAAAATCCGATGTACCATACCTGAGTTTGGTTTTGTCTACCTCAACAACCAATGGAGTAAAGTCGTAAATTGGTTTTTGGCCACCGTTCACAGACAATCCAAATTCTTTATACAACGGTAGAACAATAGCTTTAACCCGATGATCACCCAAGGTCAAACTGTAGTTTTTCTTCATCCAAACGTTCCTTGCAACTAAACAGTTTAAATTTCACTTGAAAAATATTGGTTACCATATTTTGACAATAACAGAAATTTCTTTTAAATTACATGTAATTAATTAATATCACCTGAATTATCACCTGGTTAACTAAGGATATTGCATATCTATTTGAAGCTTATCGTGCCTAAAACGTCTTTGTAAATCAACAATGCCAAAAGAAGATGTTACATTATCAACAAAGCGATGAATCACTGAAGGGCTTTAAAATAAAGGACATCAATTTAGGACAAATTAGGAAACTCGGTTTGAAGTCAGTAAAATATAGCTGTTAGATTTATACAAGTAAATGTTTTCCACGTATTCAAACAAACGAAAAGACGGCACACTATGTGATAAAAATATTTCATATTTAACAATAGATTAGAGCCGTAAATATAAGGATGTATAACAATTCTTACTTTCATCCTTTTCAAAATGGATTACCCAACAGCCCGGGATATCTTTTTCAACCTGTATACTCCTGATAGATCCACCACCAGCTTTGGCTCTCGCAAAATGAGCCTCTAACATATATTCTGCTTCTTTTTTATCTAACCCTTCAGTGCCATTTAAAAAGACTTGGACACTTTTTGTTTCATGAATTCGCTGGACTTTACAGCCCAAATTATGTTGAATCTTATTTAAACCTGAAAATGCGGTAAAACATATGATTAAGTTTACAATATACTAAAAGCTCAAACTAGCATAAAACCTTAATGTATGGTTTTGCAGGTTTCTTTAATAAGAATAAACAAAATCTTTATCTATCTTAATTACAATAAAACTATATATTTGTCAGTTTAATACAAAACTGTGTAAACAATATAGAAATATATTAGACTGTCTTCAAGTTTGCACAAACGTATTGAATTGAAGTATTATATCTGTAATTAATATGAATCAAATAGGGATATATACTTTGATCCGTCAATTTTTCATTGAATTCAAGGACGAAGCTTGATGGACTGTTGCCATATTGAAGCCGCTGAGGTTTGAAATCTATTTTTGATCTGATTTCAGTAATTGTTTCATCTATGCTCGCCCCTTCGTCGTCAAATTCATAACCACTTACTAGAATAGTGCTTCCCACTTCTAAAAACAAAATCGTTTATGATGGTTATTCTCTTTTTTAAACAATATTTCACAAGGTGTGTCCATTAAACACTTATGAAGAATGTCAGTCTAATAATTGCCTAAATCTTGCACACGTATAATGCATATTTTTATTAAATAATCGTTGTACTTAAATTGTCATTTGTAAATTTATGAATTAATTTTAATTATAAATTGTGCAATAATTTTAATTCGTTAATAAGAACTTAGAACGGTTATATGAATTATTGTTAAGGGTTGTCATTGCTTTACGGTGACTCAGATCATGTAAGCTAACAGCCACTTGTACCTGGCTGTTTTAACTGTCAAAATCGTTTGAGCTAATACTAGTAATAAATTAAAGATATGACACAATAAGGTTTATTATAAGTAAAATATCATAAAGCTTTACCTTGCGCTATTATCAGTCTTTTTCCATGTGTTACTTGAATTTCACCACTGCCAAATTCAATTACAAAATGCAATGTGTTTGGATCAAGTGTTTCCTGAACGGTGAAGACATCTTTACCAGTGTTTCCAACGGAAGTAACAAACAAATTATGTGATACTTGTCTCTCGTGTAAACTTAACCGGAAGGCGATCACTGAACTGAACGGATATTCTTGGACGGCGCTGCTCCGCTCCCATATTACATCTTCCTCATCAGGTGAACCTGGGTAAAACAAATCGAGAAATACTAAATTTGATGCCTTACATAATACCAAATTTCATCACATTAAAAACCAATCGAATACAAAAAAGTTATGCATCAAAGTACATGCTTAATTTCATTTAAGAGTGTGATATTTTATTAAGCATGTATATGTACATTTAGAACAAATGTCATGTAGAATTAAAGTACCGTTGCCCCTAGTTAAATGCTTTGTTCAGTAACAAATATGAAGCCATGGAAAATGTTTTTATCCTTTCCATGACTGTCTACATAGAGACGAATTTGTTTAAAGGTTAGCTATTGTTAAGTATGTAAAGGGATATAAAATCTAGCCATTGCAATTAATTTTGGATAAAGACAACTCTTGAAATAATGCTAAAATTGTTTAACATTCGGATCTATGAATCACAGAACTAAATTGATAGTTTAAATCATAGTTAAAAAAGTTCGATTTCAATCAAGTTAGTTAATGACAAATAGTCATTTAGTTTTTATAGAATTTTGTTTAGTTCGATTGTATTGGAAACTGTAAGCTTATAGACACAATCGCGAAACCGTCACTGGAACCAACAAGTACTTAGCAATGTATCTCAAGGAAATACCGGTTTCCCCATTAGAACCCAAAAACCAGCAATCATTAGTCAAACGCGTTAACGCCTCGGCCACGCCGTCATGACATTTAACTTATATTGTCACTTATAGCCCAAACGACACAGTGACAAATCGGATGTCTATCTTACATTAACATAAGCGCTTTCGTAATTTCTATTATCTCTTCTAATTGCCAAATATCTCAAATCGTGTGACTTTTGTAGTGGCTGGCCTATAAACTAAAATACTAAAGACGTTTTATATTTACTCGTCTTATTCTACCTGACATAGCATTTTAAATGTCTGACAAAACATTTAAGGTGACAACGGAGTCAATTATCACTGAAAATACCTAAAATGAGATTTTTTGCTTAGTAGATTTATCAACCTTTTCTGAACACATTCGTGATTTCATTTTGGAAGCAGTTAGTCAAAAAAATGTGTTTTTAAACGTTTTAAAACGGTACCTGTACCATTTTTATCTGCTATCGCGTAACCTGTCAATTATCGATAACGCTCCGCCCCCTGTTGAGGCATCAATGAGGGAAATCGGTAGTTCCATATATGCGTGAATTACCGGTCCATACTGGTCCATACTACTCGTAATTCATGTATCGTACAAATACCGTACATCTTTTATGAATATCGTCTACCTTTTATTTAGCCTTTTTTATAAAATAAGAAATTGTCGGCCAATGTACGTAACATAATGTATGAAACAAAAATAATTAAGCATAGCGACAAATCGCACGACCACGGGATTGATTAAAAATATAGTTGCTAAAATATCCATAATGTGTGAAAATAATGTGTCTGTCCCGTTAACCTGATAGATATTACATTGAGTTTATGGACTTTTGTACGGATTCAAGGGCTTGCTTTACATTCAACCTCGTTTTCTAACAATGTTAAGTAAAACAACAACAAAAACAGACAACATTTTTTATGTGAACGCCTATATGACTTGTGGTAAGGTGTCCCTGACAAATTTCTAAACCATTTTAGGTTGTCTAAGGATGATTATTTCTCTATGAATAAATAAAAAAAGATAATAAAATAAATTATCAGTGAATGCTTTGAATAAATTGTTCGCTAGTAAATCGAACACAGTACTAATAAACCTGGGACAAAGTATGGAATTTATTGTATATCCCAGTAGAAACTGGATCTCTATGCCGTGCATAGATGATTTTCATGATAATAGAAGTCAAGAAGGTCAGATCATAATGATCAAGTGATACCTTTTATTTCTATTAAAATATGTGAAGCATTTATATCAATTTGGAGGAAAAAATATATAATATCCCGTTCTTATTTGTACATCTACCATGGACTTAAAAAACTGTCAGAAGCTCAGTTTTTTTGTTATTTTGATTTACATTTTAACGGAATTTAATACACGAATACACAGATAGAGTGACACTGGTATAATATAATAATAATGCTGATGATAATAATAATAATAAACTTCAAAAGTGAAACAATTAAATACCCCGCTAGCGGTGAACAAATACGTTCCATTTCCCCCCACCGAGTGCCTCAAATTTTACCGAAAGTCACGTGACATGTGCGACGACGGTAAATCACGTTAAGATTTGAAGAAATTTCTGTTATAAACTGATATTAATCAGCAACTTTTTAATTGGTCAGATGTCACTGGGTCATAAAATGTTGTTAGAGTATGTTACCGCAACTTGTGACCCTCTCTGGTGCGATATTTGTGTATTATGCAATTATTTAGCGTGAAACGTAGGGGTCCGAGAGAGAACAGCCGATTTATGACACTTCGTTTGATGCGGGTCGGACTAACTTTGAATCGGCATAACTTTTTTAATAATCAAGCAATTAACATGCGGTTTTAAGCACATGAAAGGGAATTCAATTACGGAGGGAACCGTGTCAGGGATTTTTGTTTGCTCAATCAGCGACTTAATTATCTTTAATTACGTAATATGTATGGTGAAAAAAGTCGCATAAAATGTTTGACGTTACGTAATATTTTTTTGAGAAAAGATAGAAAAAATTTGAGACACGGTTCCCCAGATATTATAAGTATGTTTATTTTCCAAAAGTTTGATGACAAAAAAATAAAAAATGACTTTGATATGACGATTTAAAATTTTAGGATTTTTATTAAAAATCAATCATTTACAAAGGCATTTTTTTCAAATATGTTATTTTTTATGATGATCAACGACATTTAATGCACAAAGATTAAATAAATAACAATTGTTACTAAAATAAGTTGGTTTAAATGGCATTTATGTGAGTACCACGGAAAGTGTCTGTTGTCACCTTAAAGGGTCCATGGTTACCTTTATTTTCCTTCCTTGATACAAGCTTCAGGCTCATAAAACCATGAGATGGTGCCTTCCCTGCTATATTTTCGTTTAACAATCTCATATCCCAGTGGCAATAATACACATCGCCATTTACAACAGGTTTACTGTTAAAACAACAGAAAATAATGTGAACATCATATCATAAGTTTGTTCAGTCACAGTCTGTTATAAAGACTTCATCTTCCAAACTTTTCAAAACATTCGAAAAACGTTTGTTTAATATTTTACGTTAACTTTTTTTCTTTTTGAAAAATTCTCTCATAGGAGGAAGCTTGCGAACGATTGGTGGTTGTGCAAGATATGTATTTGCTGACAATCCAAATAACTGATGTCATATTAATAAAACATAGACAAACATATATTTCATAATAATCCAAGTGACCGCTTCAACAACGTAAATAAAGAAAATTATATTTATTTATGTTTTATTATTTACAATTCGATCTGAATTTAATACTTTGTTAGTGGTAGTTGTAGCATTAATTGTAAATCACTAAGGATGAAATAAGATAAAAAATATTGTTTATCAAACATTCATTACCTGATTCTGCACCTTGCTGTATTTGATGCTATTGAAGAACTACTTCCCTGGCCACTTCCGGCAGAACACAGGGTTATCTTATCATATTTGTCCCCTTCCAAATAAAATGCAAAATTGTCAGATGTTTGCATCACAGCAATTATTATTTTTATTGTTTGCTGTTTCAGGGGGTTCAATTCTTTAGTTTTTTTATTTTGTTATTATATTTTTTGCACCGGCAGAAGTCAAAAGGCTTAAACAATGATAGTAACAAGATAAGCTTAAATATATGTACGTTACAGAAATGTAAATGAGCAATGTAAGTCAGTATTTCATTTATTCAACTGATATAAGAAAATATATAATTATGCAAAATTAAACATTTCTACATGTTCCTACTCAAAGTTTTTAATGAAAAAAATAAAAAACAAGCGAAATAGAGGCAAAATCAAACAGATACATAATAGTTAACTATGCTAAATATATACTGCGCTCCGACAAATGGTTGTTTGGTTAGAGATTTTGTTCTGTTGAGGCTTTAATAGAAACGATATCAAATTCTGTTTTGAACATACATTTTGTAAATGAAAGCTTGCATACCTTCAATTGATATTTCTGCCTTTACATCTGGATTTCCATACACACAGATGAAATACAACCAAAGATCTGCCACATTACTGTCACAGTCGTATTCCATTTCACCGCCATCTGGTCCGTAGCGAAAAGAAAAATCAGTTTTGTTCAATATGCGGACTGCATCTTGCTCATCTGAGGTGAATCCTTCCTCCTTCTCAAATACAGAACCCTGAATAATAACAAAACAATATTATTCTCATTAGATAAATTGATAAAGATGGACGGTCAATAAATACTTGCTAAGCGGATACTGTTTAACAAACATTCGTTTATTTATGAACATACATCATGTTAAAAATCGTTTAAACGAATTTATACACAATGGGTAAGAATTATAAAAACTTGTCAATTGTCCAGTGAAAACCGAAAGTATTACTGATAATAAAATGTGGACTAAAATAAATAGCAGTTTTTATGAACCTCCAAAATATTTCCGTTTCCTGACGGATTAATACTTGTTAACCCGATACGTAAAACGCCGCCTCTTTTAAATGTTATCTTAATCTTGGTCTTTTTCGTGAAAATAATTCTGCTCCAAGATACCAACGTATTTGTAGGTACTGTAAACTCGTTACTTGTTTTATTTGCTGAGTTTTCAATAACACTAATCCCTGTGTCTGATGGATCACATTCTAGGTCGACTGGAATAAAATAAAATGTATTGTGCTATTGTTTACTACAATAATCCACATTACATATGTGGCATAATGCCCATCCAAGGATATATACATGTAATAAGTAAACAGATGAAAGTCAAAATAAGTTTTAGATTTTGCCATACAAGTCCTTTCAATTTTACAATTTTCTTCGCAGGTACGATAAATAAACTCAAGTGGCCCAAGAGTATGAATATCCTTCGGAAATTACCTGTAACGTAATTCATATAAAAGTGGGGCAGTATTTTTAAATTTTAAGCAAACTTATTTATTTTTTCTAAACATTTTCCAATATAAACTGTTGGTCAATCATCATTATAACAGTCAATCTTTTAAAATATATAGTTATTTGTCTTATTTATCTGTATATATAGTCTTTGGGTGTCCGTCAAGGTGATTGCTTATCTCCCTTTCTTTTTTCAATTTATTTAAACGATATTGAAGATACACTTTTATGTGAAGGATTTAAAGGCATAGATACCGGTTTTTTAAAACTTTTTCTTCTTTTATACGCAGACGATATTGTGCTAATAGCCGAAAGTTTAGATAATTTACAAAAAGGCATGGATATTTTAAAAGATTATTGTGAACGTTGGAAACTTACCGTAAATATTAATAAAACAAAAGTGATGATTTTCAGAAAGGGTGGACGATTACCAATAAATATTAGGGTTATGTATAATGGGTCTGAAATTGAATTAGTGAGTAAATTTACATATCTTGGTATAGTTTTTTCTTGTGGGGGGGTCTTTCGAACACACATATGATGCATTGTCAGGTCAAGCATTAAAAGCTATTTTCAAAATGAAACAATACTTACAGAAATTTACTTATATAGATATAAAACATAAAATTGATTTGTTTGACAAGTTTATTAAACCGATTTTATGTTATGGATGTGAAATATGGGGCATGAATAAAGCTGATAAAATAGAAAATATACATACACATTTTTTGAAAAATATTTTAGGGGTAAAATTACAAACCCAGACTAATTTTGTATACGGCGATTTAGGTAGAATGCCTTTAAAACAACAAAGAATAATACAAGTTTTAAAATTCAGGTTAAAGATAATTAAATGCGATAACGTAAAACTGATTAAACAAACATGCAATTTGATGCTTGAAGATATTGAACGAAACAATGAAACTACTAATTGGGCAACGTCTGTAAGAACAATTTTTGAAAATCTAGGCTTAAATCATGCATGGATATTTTAAGAAATAGGAAATGAAAACATTTTTATAGCAGAAGTCAAGCGAAGACTTGAAGATAATTTTATTCAAATCTGGATGTCTGAAGTTGAAGCGTCACCCAGGGCCGACACATATAAACTTTTCGCTACTTTCGGTTTTTCGAAATACATAGAACAAATCAATATCAGTAAATACCGAGCTGCTTTAACAAGATTTCGTTTATCGTCACACAGATTGTATATAGAAACCGGCAGATGGCATAAACCGCATCCGATTCCAAGAAATGAACGCAAATGTATCTTATGTAACACACTAGAAGACGAATTTCATTTTCTTTTGGAATGCGAATTATATAAAGATTAAAGAATTAGATAAATAAAACAATATTTTCGAAAAAGACCGAATATTCCAAAGTTTGTTGAACTTCTTTCCAGCGACCAAAAACAAATAAATACCAATCTTGCCATATACTTAATTTAAGCCATGGAACGCCGTAACATAGTTTTATATTAAATGTGAGTCACTTTTCTCCACAAAATATATTTTTACATTTTTCTCTTGTGGAAGACTCTTTTTTGATATATCAAATAATATTTTTGTATACGTGTGCATGTGTGTGCGTGAATGTGTATGTGCGTGCGAGTGCGAAGTTTAATACTCACGTTTAATACTCATTGTATTTTTCAAAATCTTATTGACGATGACTATAATAGGTGTATAACTATTTGAAAATTTGAGAAGATTTACATAAAAGCATTTATGATACTGTTGTTTCACCAATCGCCTCTTATAGTTTGCAAAATGATAATGATTGCATGCAGTGATGATTGATATTTTTTACGATTTCATACATTTATGATGATTTATATAGAATTGGACCGCCACTGATTATTTTTTAAAAAAAAACCCTTGTATTATACGTATGTTTGTATATATGTACTCACAGGCATTTGCCTTTTGTTCAATAAAATTATTCAATTCAATATAGTCGATTCAACTCAAGTTGACAATGAAAAATGATAATAATGTCATAATAGTTTAATATTTTCATTCATGTCTTGCCATCATAATTTTGTGCGAAGTATTTCCGACACAAATGTAACACTGCTGTGCATGTATAGTGTAGGACTTCTGTAGTGTCCAGTTTATATTTAAGCTTGATTTAATAACAAGTACCCCAACGAATGTTTTATTTGATAGAGTAAAATGTACAGGATATAAGTATTAATTTTATTGTTTTCATTTCATTTGGTTGCATAAAAAATTTCCTTTTTTGAAAAATTTGTTTTATTTCGTGTTGGCTTCCTTCATTTTAACAAATACATGTACTGCAGAACAAAAAAGCACGGAGATCTATCACCTTAGCACGACATTTCATGTCATGATACTGTCACATTTACAAAAACAATCAGCTTTATATTTGTGGTAGTATGACATTTTTCATTGCTAAAGGTCTTAGTTTTAAAGTGTTTACTTGACAGGCTTTACATATTACCATAAGCTTCATGATCAAGCTACATAAAGATGGTCAAAACTTTATTTTATTAAGCGTATAAAGCTGTATTCGGCAGTGTGTAATCGATATACCTATACCATAGTTTTGTATCTTGATAAAATTAAAACGAAGAACTTCATTGAAATGATATTGTTATGCAAATTTACGAAGAAATTATCACTTGCCCAGTTAAAAATAGCCTTTGAATATTTTCTTGAACGTTCTAAGACCTATGCTCTTGCTTTCAATATATTTCACTTGTGTTAAATACCGAGACACATTTTAAAATTTCTCTCTATGTAAAAGTCAAAACAATCATAGATAAGAAAAAAAGCATTATATCATTTTTTTACATTAGGAGTGTACACAGTAACATGACCTTAAGACCTTTTTAAAAAAAATCGATACGAGTGAACACGTTTTGAAATTATTATATGATCAGATAACATTTCGCAAGTTTATACACCTTTAGGTTTTGTCCACTGCCTTCGTTTTGCTACTCCGTTTGCCCTATGCCGATATCAGAATTATCATTTCTTCCTCATTCAATTAATACATAAAGCATCTTTAAAAGGACGAGCATATTCTGTCATAAGGCCGCATTTTTGTCATAGACGGCTTGCACTTTTCAAAGTGCACGACAAACCATTTATCTATCTACAACTTTTATAAAACAAACATTACACTACCCATCCAATACTGTTTGCTGTCGTAATAGTAAATGAAATATTAGTACAAACGAGTATACATACCTTTTGTTGGATATTTTCCTGCTCCTCCGCCCATATTTAATATGTTAGGGTATGATTGCTTCTGAGGTTTTGTTTTCACATATTCGTTTTATTAACTGTGAAAAAATAAAAATCGGGTGAGTGAATAGGTTTGTCCGTAGAAAATTTTAAGAGTTTTAATAATGATATTATGTTCAGGTAAAACCACGCCTCCAAACAAACATATTTAAGAAAAAAAAGTATCAAATCATTTCTTTAAAGGATTTGACAAATTATTATTCAAAAAATGTTCATGTAAAAATAATCGAACCTATTTTACCATGTTTCAATACAATTAATGATGAACTTTGTTGGGTTTTTTTTTTTTTTTTTTTTTTTTGAGTGGGGGGGGTTATTTTTATTTTTTATTAATTAAATTTAGATCTTTTGTAACTTACCTATATTACATATTTCGTTAAAGTTGACTGTATTAAATACACATACATGAAGACAGAAACGTATAATACAGATATAGCTCTGTGACCGAGACAATTAAGTGCTAATTATCTCGGTGTATGCGTATGTAGATTCATTCAGCCAGACTAGGTTAGATAAGTAATGTAATATCATATCGATATGCTAGACTAAATTTACATAATATAAATGCTCAAAAAGTTGTTAAAGTTTTCGACTAAATAGACTTCGGGTATTGTTTTGATATTTTCTTTAAACGATTAAATGGTATATATACAGGGGCGAGATGTTTTTCATGAGTATATCCGCAGTTTCAGTTACTGCATAGTTGAAACGAACCCCATTCGGTTCAGGAAATTAATCTAATTATACTGAATTGCCACCAATAGTTTTGCTTGTACGCGAGCCTGTCCTCATTTTTGTTTAGCATGTTTCTGAATGATCTTGAAGATATGTTTTAACTAAAGAAGTCGAGGGCATAGATACTGGTATTTTTAAGATTTGTTTGTTTTTATTGTATGCGGACGATATAACTATTTTCTCTAAAACGGCTGAAGGTTTACAACATGCCTTGAACATCTTATCTGAATATTGTGATAGATGGAAGCTTTCAGTAAATGTTGATAAGACCAAAGTAATGGTGTAGAAAAAGTGCATTATTACCTCAACTGTATAAAATTTGAAACATTGTATATAGATGGGTTCAAATGTAAATTTAAAAATAACATTTGTTTTATTTGTATAGTTCCAGTTTGTGTCATATTATTATTGCAATATTTTTTTATCGAAGTGTTGAAAAAGACGTTTCAAAACCATATAGCTTAGATAAGTAAATGTACTACATAAATCAGTGTATGAAAGAAAAAATGTTATTCATGTTCTATATAGTATACATTTATCTCGAAATTTAAGGTTACTATGTAATAGATGCTGATCCTCACTGTTTCCAACGAGATTGCAAGTATTATTTAAACATTAACTATTTCTTACTATTATATATTTGAATGTTAAATCTCTAAAAAACCTAGTAAATTGAATACTTAATGAATGATAGCCGTTAATTATAAAAGAAAAGCAATACTTGCAGTCACGTCATCTTGAAGCATCATTCATTAATGCGTATGCTATACAAGCGATAAGCGTTCGCTTTTATGTTGACTTTTATGTCGACAAGAGGAGATATTCAGAGAAAGAAAAATTTAATGAAAAACAACAGAAATATGCAAATAAATGTAGAATAATAATAATAATAATAATAATTATTATAATAATAAATATTGTAATACGAATATAATAATGATTGATATTGTTATAAGAATATAATAATAATAATTAATATTGCAATAAGAATTAACAGAGAAATATACAGGCATACGCTAACCCTATCTCTCATTCTTTCCAGTTTTGTTTGTTGTTTTTACTTGCTTCTTGTTTTTTCCACTAGAGTGTTAACAAGATGTTTCTATTTTGAGCTCCTGTGACCTAATTTTTCATTAGAAATGACACATGTTCGACTCATCCGAGCGATTACCTAGACAAGTATCCTGACAAAGTTTGATGATGATTGAGGCAAAAATGTGATTACTAGAGTGTAAACAAGGTTTTTTCATATGTTGGCAGTGTGGCCTAGTTTTTGACACTAGGTGACCCATATTCAAAACTTGACCTTGAAATCATCAAAACCAACTTTTAGACCAATTTCTATGATATTTGGATCAAAACAGTAGCTGCTAGAGTGTTAACAAGATTATTCTATTTTTAGCTCCTGTGACCTAGTTTTCATCCGAGACCTTGTTCAAACTCATCCGAGCAATTACCTAGACAAACATCCGGACCAAGTTTGATGACAATTGAGTCAGAAATGTGACCACTAAAGTGTTAATAAGGTTTTTCCATATTTGGTCAGTGTGAACTAGTTTTTGACCCCAGGTGACCCATATTCGAACTTGACATAGAAATCATCAAAATAAACTTTCAGACCAATTTCCAGGAGATTTGGATCAAACAGTAGCCACTAGAGTGTTAACAAGATATTTAGCTAATGTGACATAGTTTTTCATCCGAGATGACCCATGTTGGAACTCATCCGAGCGATTACCTAGACAAGCATTCTGACAAAGATTGATGATGATTGGGGCAAAAATGTGATTACTAGAGTGTTAACAAGGTATTTCCAAATGTTGGCGTTGTGACCTTGTCTTTGACCCAAAGTAAACCATATTCAAAACTTTACCTTGAAATCATCAAAACAAACTTTCAGACTAATTTCTAGGATATTTGGATTAAAATAGTAGCCACTAGAGTGTTAACAATATTTTTCTATTTTTAGCACCTGTGACCTAGTTTTTCATCCTGAACTCATACAAGCATCCTGACAAAGTTTGATGATGATTGAGGCAAAAATGTGCCCACTACAGTGTAAACGAACAAATGTGGACGACGACGGGTGGCGGACATTAAACGACCCTTAAAGCTCACACTGGGCTAGCTCAAGTGAGCTGAAAAAAAACCTCAGGGTGTCCCTTTGAATTTAAATACAAATTAGATATCAGGGAAAACAAAATAAATTTAAGTTTTTTTTACTTACATACCTCCGTTTATACCGGCAATCCCGTTCCTAATTTACTGTAATTTTCAAAACTGTTATACCGTTGTCAAGTTTAAGAAAAGAACTTTTATTTTACAAATTTAATTTGTCTATTTATGTAAACTATCGTTTGAATAAGTTTGTTTAATATGCTGTAGAAAATTATCAGCTGCGTCAAATTTCAGGTGAACCCGTTGATTGCATGATTTTCAATAGGGGTATACAATCAGAAAAAATCGAAGCAATATATAGCTGTCGAATTCTTATTATCAGTAAGAGTTTCAGTACAACATATTTGCTAACAAAAGAGCACGGTTAAGTCTACTGTTACTTAAATTAAAGGTCAGGTTAGTGATCTATCTATCAAATTGACTTTTCTGGTTGACAGCTTTTCAATACATAAGGTTAATGACAGTTTTGTTTACAGTCTACGATATACAATAAAAATCAAGAGTGAACAGTTGGGGTTAAATTCTACAAAGGCAATGTAAATTTTTTATACTTTTTTCTTTTCAAAAGAAGAAGGAAGTAAAAGTTAAATATCTGCTTTAAACAATCAACCTTTGAAAAGTTTAAATAGATTTCAAGATAGATAGCTGTGATAGGCATGACAAATGAAGAACAATACATGCTTATACAATGTAATTGATTGAGGAAGTATACGGAAGTAACACATTTAAATACAGCATTGTTTGGATATATGTACATATATATTATAAAGTGTTGTTTAATGATTGTTGAAATATTAAAACGCCAAGTCATAAAATGCGTTGTTTCTATCTTTCCAAGATTCAGATCTACGACCGTATAGCATACGTTTGCAATTTTATTTTGCTTATGCTACGATAACATTTTTGTTCGTCTGCTTTTTAAACTTATTTTTAGTCGTCTGCATGTTTTACTTCGTCTGCTTTTTAAAACATTTTCATTTGGTTTTAAACCTCTTTTTATTGTTGTCTGCTTTTTAAAACTTTTATGTCGTCTGCTTTTTAAACTTATTATGTGAAGTCTGCTTTTTCGATTCCTTATATCATCTGTATTAATACTTTTTTCACATTTGGTCATCTTTTCCAAACTGGGGATATGAATGAAATAGTTCTACACCAGAAACAGGAAAACGGGAAAATATACCAAAAACTAATAAGGAAATGTACTCGGAATCAAATTGAAATCAATTTTTGGTCCATTTTATTCCGTTTTGAGTTAAAATTGTTTTAACTTCTTTCATTTTTCTGTCATTGTGCGCAATTAAAATTATTGTTCTGGAAAACTGGACTTGGCAAGTCTGAATTTTTGCTTCATACCTTCTTCAAATGGTGCATTCATCTGGAAAAAAAGTTCAGAACTATGGCCCTATATTCTATACAGAATGAATTTATCGTTTAATGTTATATGGCCTCTAACTTTGTCAAGATGCACGGATAGTCGGACCAATAGCCATTTTAATATTTACCGATCATGATATAATTACGACTGTCTTTTACAAGAAACTTGGTCTTGAAACAAAGCAGCATGGCTGAATATAGTACAGACATTCGTAATACTGCGCGGCTAAGCGCCACAGTAAGAAAATGGGTATTACTATGCATAAAGGTAACTCAGCGTAAATGGATCTGTGTCCATCATATAAGATAATCACAGAGAGCAAGTGTTTGAAGTTTCAACCGATTCCCTTTAGTTGTTTTGGAGATATAAACTTGCAAGCAATCTTAATCAAAGTCTGACGGTGCCTCTGCCGCCGGGGTGAGTACAATAGCTTTCCATATTCCTCGAAAAGTCCAGCTAAAATATGACATCTTAACCTTATGAATGATGATATTTGGTACCAACTTAATCAAACTGGGTATAGAAAATCAGTTTCTTATAAGTGAGCGTTTATTTTCTCTTCAGTCATAATAATTCAAAATCATAACAAAACATCTAATAACTTGAACGGTTGTTGCTTTTTGTAATTCAATGGTATTTACTCCAAAATGTCTCGATCGTCTTTGGTGGTTAAATCTATTATAAAACATCGGAAAATTTCACCAATTAAGTAAAACTACATTTTTTAAACAGACATAATTTATTTAGAAAATACATCAAGACTAAAAAGGCAACGATGGCTCATTTTGCTTTCCCGTAAAAAATATTGCAGGTTATGGTCTTAATGCAGAGGTCATGGTCATTGGCCATAGTGTGTCAACTTTTTATTTCACACAATAAAGTGTACTATTTGATGACATAGCTTGAAGCTAGAAAATTTAAAGAAGGTTACTAGGTCATGGCAAAGGTTAAACAATATCATTGCTATCAATATTAACACATGTTTAAATTGTTCTCGCTGTAAAGGAGTGTAGGCGAAATAATAAAGAAGTGACCAATCAATGGTAATTTTCAAATAGCCTTGGCAATATATTTTTAAAGTAACAGCAGACATTGTAGGCACATATAATAGCCATCCTTGTGGAGGAAAGGGGGATATTGACTGTATGCTTTTAAACTATCTGTATGGAACCACCAGACGATACTACATGCTAAATATCAAAGTTATAGGCTATGCGATTCTATTCTAGATAATGAGGTTTTAAGCTTCTTTTAAAGTATACAAATAATGAATCCTGGAGCAGTTCAATATTGACCAAAGGGACAAAACTTACACAATTTGGTAGAATACCTCTAGCAAACTCATCATGTCAGATAATTTGTCTCATCAGTCTCATGGTATCTGACCGAATTATTTTTTGTTAGTAGAAGTTACCAGTGACTCTTGGCCTAAGTGGCCCTTATCTTTACCCAATCCCAGAAGACAACCAAAGATAGATCCCAAGAATAGTTCATAAATGATTAACTAAATGAGCAAAAGTGTAAATAACTATTTTAAAGCACCAAATATTAGACATCATTCAATACAGAATGGCTTGATAAGCAAATGTGTAACAAACATAAGGGTAATAATTCAACAAGTCGCTCACCTGTATATAGGCCCCCAGAGCGGGGCCAGTTTTAACCCCAGGGCTTTTATTTGAACAAACTTGGTAGACACCCAGTAGAAGATGTTTCATGCTAAACATCTAAGGTCTAGCTCGTTAGGTTTTTTAAAAGAAGATTTTTTTCAAGTTTTTTCTTTACACATATAGTTAAAACAATGACACACCTGGGGCAGGGCCAGTTTTGACCCCAGGGCTTTTATTTGAACAATCTTTGTAGACACTTACTAGAAAATGTTTCATGCTTAATATCTAAACTCTAGCTATTCAGGTTTTTCAAAGAAGATTTTTAAGTTTTTGCTATACACATAAAAAAAATTATAAGGAAAATCAATGTTCCCCGGGGCGGGGCCAATTTTGACCCCAGGGCTTTTATTTGAACAAACTTTATAGACACTCACTAGAAGATGCTTCATGCTTAATATCTAAACTCTAGCTATTTAAGTTTTTCCAAAGAAAATTTTTTAAGTTTTTGCTATACACATATAAGGAAAATCAATGACCCCTGGGGCGGGGCCAATTTTGTCCCCAAGGCTCTTATTTGAACAAACTTGGTAGACACCCATTAGAAGATGTTTCATGCTAAATATCTTAGCTCTAGCTCTTTGAGTTCTTTAAAAGAAGATTTTTTAAGTTTTTACTATATGCATATAGGGAAAATCAATCACCCCGTGGGGCGGGGTCAATTTTGACCCCAGGGCTTTTATTTGAACAAACTTGGTAGACACCTATTAGAAGATGTTTCATGCTAAATATCTTAGCTCTAGCTCTTTAAGTTCTTTTAATGAAGATTTTTTAAGTTTTTACTATATGTATAAAGGGAAAATCAATGACACCCTGGGGCGGGCCAATTTTGACCCCAGGGCTTTTATTTGAACAAACTTGGTAGACACCCATAAGAAGATGTTTCATGCTAAATATCTTAGCTCTAGCTCTTTGGGTTCTTTAAAAGAAGATTTTTTAAGTTTTTACTATATGTATAAAGGGAAAATCAATGACCCCCTGGGGCGGGGCCAATTTTGACCCCAGGGCTTTTATTTGAACAAACTTGGTAGACACTCACTATCAGATGTTTCATGCCAAATATCTAAGCTCTAGCTCGTTGGGTATTTTAGAAAAAGATATTTAAAGTTTTTTCTTTTGGTTGCCATGGCAACCAGAGTTCTGCATGGAATTAAATTCTTTGAACAATTTTCAAAAGTGACCACCAAAGGAACATTCCTGTGAAGTTTGGATGAAATTGGCCTAGTGGTTTATGAGGAAATGTTATTTAAAGTAAAAGTTTAGGACGACGGACGACGGACGAAAAGCGATCACAAAAGCTCACCCTGTCACTTTGTGACAGGTGAGCTAAAAACAAAGTAAACTAGCAACACTGCACTGCGTCAAATTTCTTAAATATTTTCAAGTGGTTCTCTCTATAAGCATTAGTAAGTACTATAAAGGGAGACAATTCATTCAAAATTAATAGTTATGGGTCACACTGTCACTGTAAAGGTCATATGACTAAATTCCAGCTTTACTAATAATAGAGGACCTCAGGTGTCCTGCTGTTCATTATTTCAAATGGTGTTAACTACTGACATTCTGTAACCTAGCTAGATTGCTCCCTCAAATGAAAGAATCCAATTCCCTGACAAGATTCACCAGTGGTGATGGGCAAGCTGTTTCAGGACAACAAACTTAACAACTCAACAAAAGTGTCCCTTTCAAAATTATCTGAACAAGTAGTTTCTCTAAAGTATGCATATTTACTTATGTTAGTGAACAGCAATTGTTTTGTATTTGAAAAAAAAAAAAAACTAAAAACTGACTACACAAAATCTGCATTGTTATCGATAATTCTATTTTATTCTGTAATAGAAATCTTACCACCTATTCATATTTATCATAACAATACTCAATGCAGAAATCTTTTGATAATAATATCACTGATAAACACTCTATAAACATAAACCTGGAATATTACACCTGGAATATAGTTAAACTTCTATGTTCAGCATTATCAACATAAATCTATTTAAAATCATAATATTCACTGATTGTTTTATAGAATGTATATTACATTTACGAAATTTGCAAAGTTATTTCCCTTACTTTGTATTTCATCGCTGATCAGTCTTTCCTTTAACACATAAAATATACATCTATTTCCATTTTTAACCTTTTTTCTAAGGCCAAGATAGTGAATCCATCATTTTGCAGTTTAAAAAATGGATTTCAATATCATGATACAAAAATACAAAGTACAAACAGTACTGAACAGTCCCCAGGGTCTGGTCAGTGGCACTAAAATTGAAGGCCAACCTGTTAGATTATTTTGGTTTTTACATCAACCTTGCACAAGCCTTTAACCATAGACTAATCAGTATTACTATTAACTTAGTCCCCTTTAAATGAAGGTCAATTTAAGAAAAACTTCTTTTCCATTCAATACTTATTTTGACCAAAAGAAATGCAATTGCCTTAGTTCAATACACTTCCCCAAATTAAAACCAAGGTTCATCTGATATCATTATATCAATATAAATCTGGATACAATGAATGGTATTATAACAAAAATAGTTTTTATGATGAGAATCATGTATCCCCTTTAGAGTCTGCCTGTAAAGCCCTCTCTTGTGCCAACTTTCGTGCCAAATACCTGGCTCGTGCATCATTTACTTGACCATCCGTTGTCTTCCTGGCATATTTCGATTTAGGCTCCTCACTAGATTTATCAGGCTTTGCATTGTCACTTTTGTCACCATGTTTCCCTGTTTCTGAAAATCCTTTTTCATTTCTATGAGATCTATTTCTTTCAGATCCATTTCGTTCTGAATGTTTATCATTTCTTAGTCCTGACTTTTCCCTTGATTTTGACCTTTCCCTTTGCCTTTCTCTTGACCTTGACCTCTTTCTGTCCTTTGACCTTGACCGGTGTCTCCTTCTGTCTGGTGATCTTCTATCTTCTCCTCTCCTTTTATTAGTTCTTTCCTTTGACCTTGACCTTTTCCTTCTTTTATCCTCATTTCTATGTCTTTCATCATCATTTCTGATTTTACTTCTTCTCGAATCATCATCGTAAGAATGTTTACTTCTAGAATCAGATTTAGATCCTGTTTTATTCCTTGACTTATCCCTTGCAGAGTTTTTATCGACATCACTATTATCACTACTTTCACTTTCATTTCTCCTACGATACTGTTTTTTCGCACGCTCAGGTGACTTTGACTCCTGACCTACGTTTGAGCTTGAAGACTTTTTAGGATTTGACCTCTGTTCAAGGTCACTTTCAGAATCTGACGATGAAGATTTTGGTTCCTTTTTCACTTTAACTTTCTCCTCACTGAAATTTTAAGAAATTATTTACCAGCATTATTTTTATAGGCACATAAAGTTGCACAAAAGTTTTTGAAGTTTCTGAAACTTGTTTCAGTAAGAACATAATTATTTTATATTCACAAAGAGACTGTAGCAATTATCAATATTTTTAATATCAAATTTCAGCATAGTATGTCTTTTAAGATTACCAGTTTCTGAAAAAAAACAGCTTTACAGAGTCAATATTCAAAGAAAAATTATTTAAACTGGATAATGTTCTTACTGTTTTAGAAAAGAACATGTTAAAAATACAAGTCAATAAACAAGAGGGCCATGATGGACTGAGGTCGCTCACCTGTATAAAGGCCCCCGGAGCGGGGCCAGTTTAAACCCCAGGGCTTTTATTTGAACAAACTTGAAAGACACTCATTAGAAGATGTTTCACGATGTTAAGTTTGTTAAGTTTTTACTACACACATATAATGAAAAACAATGATCTCCATCCCTCCCCCCCCCCCTCCAGCAGGGCCAAAGCTCATTGGGTTTTTTAAAAGAAGTTATTTTAAGTTTTAACTATACACATATGGTTAAAAACAATAACACCCATTTGGCGGGGCCAGTTTTGACCCCAGGGCTTTTATTTGAACAACTTGGTAGACACTCATTAGGACATGTTTCATGCTATATATCTTAGCTCTAGCTCTTTGAGTTCTTTAAAAGAAGATTTTTTAAGTTTTTACTATATGCATATAGGGAAAATCAATGACCCCCTGGGGCGGGGCCAATTTTGACCCCAGGGATTTTATTTGAACAAACATGGTAGATACTCACTACAAGATGTTTCATGCCAAATATCTAAGCTCTAGCTCTTAGGATTTTTAAAAGACGATATTTAATTTTTTTTCTTTTGGTTGCCATGGCAACCAGAGTTCTGCATGGAATTAAATTCTTTGAACAATTTTTAAAGCTGACCACCAAAGGAACATTCCTGTGAAGTTTGGATGAAATTGGCTAAGTGGTTTATGAGGAGATGTCACTTAAAGTAAAAGTTTACAGACAGACGCCCGACGGACCCCGGACGGACGACGGATGGACGCCGGACGAAAAGCGATCACAAAAGCTCACCCTGTCACTTTGTGACAGGTGACCTAAAAATTAAAGACTATAACCTGTATGTTGAAACTGTGAAATTTTTCACTGAATTTGTGTTTTTTTTCTTTTCTATTTTTATTTTTTTAGGGAGAGGGGGAGAGATTGGGTGTTGTTTTTACATACTCTTTTTTGTTTCCACATAACATTTAGTGATGTTCAGCCTTAAAGTGTGAACAAAAAAGACCAGGCAGACAGTCAATGTATTACTAAGTCATCATACATTCCTACATTACTTACAGAATCATTTTTCAATCTATTTAAGCGAGCTCAAGAAGAAGACAGAGCTTGTTCAAACTTAAGCTTGTTGCCTGGTCAAGGCAAAACATATGATATTCCAGGTTATTAAATTTTAAACACAGGTAGGCAAAAAACTTAATTTAAGACACCTTTACCACTATACTTTACCTAAAGAGGATAGTGACAGTAAAGATACAACTACACAGGGTAGTGACAGTAAACATTGACAGTATACAAAGGTACCACTATACCTGTCTTCCTCTGTTTTACTAACATCTTTAGTCTTCTCATGTAACAAGTATCTATAAAACCCTGTCAGATCACTTTGTTTTGTCACATCTTGCTTTGCTGAAAATGTAGTAAGTTTTAGAATAATTCTCTCTTTATATATGTCTATAGTTTTGTGTTCCTTTTTTGTGAAGGAAGACCACAGGTCATGCATTATTTTAGGCATAAAAAGGCATTTGAGTTGAACAAAATTAAGTCATAACTCCTTACCAGCAAGTAATAATTATAAACAAACTATTCTAACAAGCTTCACACTATTCCCCTACAAACAGATAGGACAATCAAGCGCATTATTACACAATATATGCACAGCATAAAACAGGAATGCTTATACATTATATGACATCAATAAACCAAATGTCAGGAAAATTACTTCTATGTGCATATAGTATAACATACTTTTATTAATTCTCTTTTTACTGGCATGTTAGAATGGAAATAAATATTAATTTTCCTTGCATTATAGTATATTTATAATGTATGGTTTATCATTCAAATGCATTGTAATAAATTACTCAGGCCTATCAGACTTCATAATTATATTCCTATGCATTTGAACCTACTCCCTAATTATAAATATACCTGTATCTTGTGCAAAGCATTGAAATTTGAATTTCTTAAACAAATCATCATTAAATATATTTCTTTGAACTAATGCCCAAATTTCAAATTTCTTAATATTATTCAAATTCACCTTCTAACTCCGCCTCCAGCCTTTCTCTCTCCTCCTCCGCCTGGCGTTCCTCCATTTTCTTCTTGTAGGCGGAGGTTACAAACACCTCTTTATCAGCAAACTCCTCCCCCTCAGCTTCTCTCTCTTTCTGTATCTTCCTCTCTTGTCTTCTCTCATCTTCTTTCTTCCTCTTCTCACTCGCTACCAGCAACTGTGTTATATAGCGTGGCTGTTCACAGAAAAGACAAAGTTATAGGTTATTTATTGGTTCTATTGATATGATGTTTAATTTACATATTTATGTTGTCTAAATGTTGATTGTGATTGTATTTAATGTGTTGGCCTCATTAAATAGAGTTGTTACGTACTTACTATTTGTCGACAATCATGAATGTCCATTTAATAAAAATGAGATGCAGAAGCTACGTTTGGTAACAATTACATAGTTATGCTAAGTCATACTTAAAGGCCCATTTATGCCTCAGAAATGCTTTTAGTTTCATTTCTGAAAAGGTTTCTATTTTCTTTGTGTCTTTATAATTTCCAAATAGTTAATCAAAGGACAATTTTCCGAATTATTTTTTTTCTTCTGTTGCTTTTTGGCGACCAGTAAAGTTATAGTATTTTAGTACGGAAGTCAAAGAACTACTTTGTTTACATTTTGCTACTTTAATGACAAAATATTTCACAAAAAGTGCTACTTTCATCAGGTGATAAGCATTTAACATATAAAACCATTATTAAAATGTTACATTACTCATGTTTTCCCTTTCTAAAGAAGTAAAAGATTATTCTTTTTTGAAACATAATGTGCTTTTAAGTATAGAGAAACATGATTGGTGTCTTGAAATTTTCACAATGAATAATTTGAGAGAACTAGAACGGCCACTGTTATGGCGTGAATACCCCTGCAAACCACTTTGTCAGAATCAACAGTGGCCATTTAGAGCTCAAGGACAACCTCTCTGCCAAATCTAAGGTAACTAAGCCACTGCATTGCTAAGTAAAGTATTCTACATGCTTCAAATGTGAAAAATGTCAAAATCAATACACTGTGACAGGCATTCTTAAGCTTTTGAGCAGACAAGCTTATTATAGCAAAAATCCCTGATACCTTGACCTTTGACACAGTCACCTAAAATTCAATAGGGGTCATCTACTTGAGCGGACAAGCTTTTTTTAGTGAAGGCACCTGTGACCTTGACCTTTGACCCAGTGACTTCAAAATCAATAGGGGTCACCTAATGGTCACGATCAACCTCCATGTCAAATATGAAGACTGTGGGTTAAAGGTTTCTTAAGTTATTGGGCTAACAATCTTTTTGAAGTTAAGGTCCCTGTGACCTTGACCTTTGACCCAGTGACCTCAAAATCAAAAGGAATCATCTACTAATAATGACTAACCTCCATTATGAAGAATGTGGGTCAAAGGAATCTTAAGTTATTGGGTGGACAAGCTTTTTAGTTAAGGCCTCTGTGACCTCGACCTTTGACCTGGTGATCTCAAAATAAATGGGGTCATCTACTAATCAAGACCAATCTCAATACAAAATATGAAGACTGTGGGTCAAAAGAATCATAAGTTATTGGGCGGATAAGCTTTTTTCATCAAGGTCCCTGTGACCTTGACCTTTCACCTGGTGATCTCAAAATCAATAGGGATTATCTACTAATCATGACCAATCTGAATACCAAATATGAAGACTGTGTGTCAAAGGAATCTTAAGTTTTTGGGCAGACAAGTAAAAACCGTCGGACGGAACAGCTGATTCCAGTATACCCCCCTTACAATTTTGTTGTGTGGTGAAAAAGCCATTTGCATATGACTTAGTGGTCTGCATTCAGGTAAAACCATGTAAAAAATATGTATCAATTGAAAGAAATATATTTATACACAAAATGAATGACATCACTATGCAACTATGCAAGCAAACAAGCATTTTCATCAAGCAAGAGCTCAAACTAATTTATGTTCTTGGACAATATATCAATAACTCTTTATTGCTTTTTGTAAATAGAATTAAAGTTATCCAAATACAGTATAAGTGACAATTTTTATGTCACAAAAAGTTTGCGAATGTCCAAAAACAGACTTTAGCGTGCAGAATTATTTGCAAAAGTATGATATCCAGAGCTTGCTTAATATTAGCTTGCTGGGGATAACAATTAAATACATGTATCATAATGTGAGATATTAAACAATCATTAAATCATGTTATATATTTGTTTGTATTTAGTGAGATGTTAGGGATATATTTACATTGTAACCGGTGTACCGGTGTAATGGTAAAATGTTGCATGGACACTGAAGACTTTACTAAAGTTAATGTAACTTCTGCGGGCTCAATTTGTGAATTATTTTGATTTACAAAAATTGCAAATATTACCAAATCGCAAAATTCACCACTAATACAATAAATCAAACTTTTTTTAGGACATTTGTATTATGGCCTGTTCATATCTTTTATTTTATATATCATTTATGTCATGCTTTAATTTCACAACAACATAATAGTATTTATAAGGTAAAAATTAACATCTATCACTGCAGTTTACCTTATTATCAATGACCTTCTTTGATTTAGATTTCTCTTCTTTCTTTCCTGCCATCTGATCATAAACACTGTCATATTCAAATACACTGGGGTCTTCTGCCAGGGCTTTATCTATATCCAACTGTGTCTGAAAAAAACAATGTTTATGAATATTTAGTATCACCTTTTCCTACAAGCATATTACCTTTTAAACATGAATAAACAATAATGAAGATACGAAAGTATATTCAAAGGGACATTTCTTTCTTAAATTAACTAAAAAATTAAATAAAACTATAGCTTTGGTATATGGAATAGTTAGCCATTTTACATAATTGAACCAAACAAAATTATGACATGTACAAATACAGATTCCCATGTAGCACAATCAGAAAACCAACAGTTGAACCTTACATTCTCATAATGGTAGAATAAAAGGTTGAAAACACAACAAATCACCATTTGTAAAGTTAAGTGGGTTTTTTTTTTTTTTTGCTTTTTTGGGGTTTTTTTTTGTTAATTTGTTGGCTTTTTTGGTCTAACCATGAAAAAAACTGTACATACATGGCATAAGTAAGACATCATGCAATGGTCAGGGACAAGAGGCTCCCAATCGATAACTTTAAAAATTCAAACTACAGCATGAAAATGACAGTGCTCTGTAGTCTGTAAATCAAATCAAACCTTTTGATTTAAGGCACATGTTCTTATCATCAAAATAAATTTATCTTTTGTCACAAAAATTTGAAAACATACCTGTCTTTTTATAACATTCTTGCTGTTGGAGGTGGCCCCATACTTTGATGTCACACCTTGCTTTACTGCAACCTAAACAAAAACAGCAGTATAGATTAACATATAATAAGGTGTTCTTCAATTAAACTTTACAATATTTACCTCCCTTGCCAAAAGTGGCAGCCATATTCAGGATAAATGTTCTATAAAATATATAGTTAGTAATTGACAAAAGATGAAAACATCAATATCAACAGCTGATTTAGATGAATTATCAAATTATTTTATACATATGAAGGAAAATATCATTACAACACCAATTACAAATTTAAATAATTAAAGTCATGCAACGATTTGTAAAGTTTTTCATCAGTTTTCATAACAATGATAGAATTATGAGAGATTACTATCTTTAATAATTATATTAATATCTCAAATACAACATATTGGAAATGCTCCAGGGGGAGGTAATAATTACGGTGTGAAAAGCATCTATTGTCTACTTCTCACATGTAAGCACCATAACTGTTATCACAAAATATTTTGGATGTTTTGCTGCACTATAAGGGAAGCGTCACTTGAAAACAGAAACAAAAATGGTATACCGCGTTCAGTCTACCTTACCTGTTCTGTTTCCTCAGCGTCATCACCAAATACATTGGCAGCTGTTAGTTCAGTCTTCTTCTTTACATTTCTTGGAATGAATAAACCATACCTGGAGATAGAGAAAATAGAAAATATCTGTAAATTATACCATTAAAGGAAATACGTACATATACTTGTAGTAAGAAAAATAAGAAATGTGTATAAAATAGAGCTGTCCATGAAAATGGCAGTATCGATACAATGTATGATCAATCTTCAACATTCAATTCATACTTGATTCACAAACTAAAATTATCAATCAAGGGCAGGCTGCCCCTTTTTCTTGTATTGTTTAACTTGCGTTTAGTTTTAAGTTCTGTAATAGTAACAGGAAATGGTTAACCTAAAAACTGTACAAGTCAGGTTATTGCATGCTACACTGAGTTTCCCCAGCACTTGATTTTCTGTTTGTTTATCAAACTTCCCTATTCAATAGATTTTGCCTTCACACCGGTACATAACTTGAGGTTAATCATTTTGTGTAAGTAAATCAAAGTTGTTATCTAAATTATAATGTAGTAAGTTCAAGTCTTATGTATACATTTATTTAACATATTGGTATCATGTGACCAATTTGAAAATGATGATTACATTGGTTGTTAGTCATGGCTAGCCAGTACTAACAACCAATGAATTACCAGATGCAAATTGATCATGTGACACTTATAAGGTTATTGAATCTCTACTTGTATTTTATATTTTATGTTTATATTCTATATTTTCATTGTTTTACAACCTTATTAAATCTTTTCTTGCCGAAGCTATGGTTTGCAAATTATAGTATGTTTACTGTACAATTCCATATATTAAGTGTCTACATGTACATTCAATTATGAGTATAAAACCAGCTAACTTGTCTACATATCATACTAAACATTCTAGATCACAGACTAACATGTATATTATAAGTAAAGTGGCTTGGTAAATTTTGAAAAACACAATAAGCCTCAAGTTTGAGCTGCTCGAGAGAACGCCAACCAAGATCTTTCTGCATGGCTGCTACTGATCACAGTGGGGAATAATTGTGTTTCACCTAGCGTATCGCTCATCTTTGGACCATCTCTATTTTTTGGATGTTTGACTGTGTGTGAGGGCTCCAAACAGTTGATGCATATTCTAGCTGGGGCCTTACTAGGGATTTATAAGCTAATCGTTTTACTTTTTCATTTTTTGTATAAACTAGTATATTCCATTTGAAGAATCCTAGGGTTTTGTTTGCATTCAATGTTATCCTTGAGATGTGTGTATTTTACTTTAAGTCAGCGGACAAGTCAAGGCCAAGGTCTTTGGGTTTTGAACTGCTGTTAAAGCTTGGCCATGGAAGAGGTTTTTGTTGTTGATGACTTATTTGTTTTTAGTGATGTGAAGGACTTAGCATTTTGAGGGGTTGAACTCCATGTCTTACTCCCTTTCCAAGATTTGCATCTTATTGAGAACCTCCTGTAATGTAAGTGAGGAAGAGTTTATAGTGATGTAGATCACAGTGTCACAACAAAGATGTGAATGTGAGACTTTTATAGTGAGCTGGACCAGCTGGCCCGCAGGGCCTGCTCGCAAAGCTAGCTTTATAGTAACGCAAGTACCTGCTAAATATTGATGACTTTGAAAACTTTCGTCGGATGTACTGAATTGACACATCTCAACTTTTCGAATTGCAAGATAATGATAAAAGCCGAGGATTTCTGATTGAAAACAGATACATAGACTGGTGTCCTGTGCACTTTCATAGGAATCATAATAGGACAGGGAACCAGAATATACGGAAGCAGTGCATAAAATACTGAATGGCACTTTAAAAACGGAAAATGTAAAATAAAAATGAACGATTATTTTAACTGACTTCCCGCTCCATAGGCTTTGCCTAATTTCATATTACCCAAACTATAATCTGGTTCCCTGTCCTATTATAGTTCTCATCTATGTTCTCTGATGAGCTGATTCAGATATCATAATTCATATAAAACATGAAATTACTGTATATGTGGTTCGGAAAAAGTGAGCAGTTCTATTTGTATTGAAAACAGAAAAGTGTAGCTGCCAATAGGTTTAGATTATAATGTACTATAATTTCTGTCAAAGGGCTCGCTTCGAGGCTTTGCCTTATTCATATTAAGTTTTATTGCTAGAATGGAAAAGAACATTACTGGAATACTGTTTGACTTTGTCTATATATTAAATATACAGTATATATTTTTTTCTAGAATAACTTTTTAAACTATTCCAACACTGTGCCTAGTCCCAGTGACTTACACAGGGCATGGCTTAAACAGTTAAAACCTTAAATCCATGTCAATTCTTTGATATTTTTCAATTTGTTAATCTGACTCCACCATATTGGCTTTGCATACTTTCATATTCTGGTAACATAGATTTCCTAGGTTTAATGTAGTCCTATAAATATGACTTCGCTTTCAGACATTTTTGCTTCTGTGCAAAGTAACGTCATATCGAAATAATCAAAATTGCTCAATAACAAATAGCATGTTCAGCAAGAAAATCTGGAGGAACGAAAAAAACACTTAAGTTGGCATATAAAGACATTAATTTTGACCTAATGATAAACAATAGTAAAAAATAAATACCTTCCAACAAAATAATTAAACTGTCACATCCGAAAAATCATGATTAAATCCTCTTATAAATTTAATTAAATTCTTTTACAGCCGATAAACAAATGGCTGTCACAAAGTGCCGAAAATCTGATTGGCTAATTCAAATGCAAGCGTTTAAATGAGTCAGATTTTCAAACAAAATATTTGGCAATTTTGCCCATGCACCGCCAGTGTTTTCGAATATATTTTTCTGTTCAAACAATTTGGAAACAGTATGTAAAGCTCCCTACTTGACCTGTTTGGCTAGATTGATGTTTGTATCTTATTTTAAATTGATAATAACTACATTGTTTGAGAGTTTTTGTTAATGATTGAGCATGATATTGAAAGAAAATTAGATAAACTTTTGAATAAAGTTTGAAACTGAAAGGCAAGACAATAGACATTTATTTATGATGCTATGCGTTTATTTGCAATAACTATTAGACGTCAGGCTTGACTGATATAAACTATAACAAGCCTGTCACGTCTGATATATTGGCCTAGGTTTAATCGTAATTTTATTTATTTACTATATTAACCCACCCACTCTTTTACAAAGCTAACGATTCAACTTCGTTTGTTATTATTGCAAAATACTCTGAAACACAAACTAAAACTCATACGAAAACTACTCAACCATATCTATCATTTAATTACATCCATTTTACAAAACTATTGTAAAATATCAACATAAGACAGTAAAAGAAGAAGGGAAATTCTAAATGATAAGAAAATACAAACTTTTTATCGGGCGCAGCCATTTTGAAAGGTACGGTCCACGTTTGTGCTGACTATTGATTGGCTAAAATAAAAACGTAAACAAACACGCCCACTATCTCGTAAAAATGACTATGACTGACAATAGTCCGACAACCGTGTTAAAACAACAAAATCTTGGTAAGCTGTTTTACAACTGTTTTGCTTGTACTCTAATTGATTCATATTCTTCCCAGATATGGAACCTTGCAACGATCACGAATGCACTAGCTATATAGCTAGTAGTTGTACTTGGCAACTTGGCATATGTTATTCAGAAGCCCTCTATAGCATCTGAAATTATGATATCCAGTAACCAAACGCAATATGTTTTCTAGCTTGAAATCAATGGCTACCTGTATCTGTTTTGTGGTCTAGCTTTAGGCCTAGCTAGTGCACTTCTACTTCTGTAGTTCAGGTCTAGTGCACTAGAAGTGTACATGCATTCAGGTCTAGTGCACTAGAAGTGTACATGCAAGTGTGGGAAGTTTAGTCTGAACTCAACTGTATGTCACATTTAGCCATGTTGACTTTGACTATGTATACAGGGATAATGTTGTTAGAACTTTTGACCCAACCCTTTTGTATGTACACTTGATTATGTCTGTAAAATTATGAAATTGTATATTGTGTGTATATTTATACATTAACCTATAGCTCTTCAGCGCTTCTTATGTAAAATTCTTCCAAGTATAATTTCCAATAACCGTAAATTATACCATACCCAGACTATGGTATAATTTTTAGTTTTGAAGATCGAAGGAATAAGTGTTTCTGGGCGGAGCTATAGGTTAAAACAGATACACCATTGGTGCGTTGACGATTTCTGGGTTTGCGTAAATTATACCATAATCACGTGACCTTTCTTATGCAACCTCACTCGACTTCGTCTCGTGAGGTTTAAGGCATAAGAAAGGTCACGTGATTATGGTATAATTTACGCAAACCCAGAAATCGTCAACGCAGCAATGGTATATCTATTACATAAAATATTATTAAACTAAAAAAAGACTATGTATACGTATTTATTACATGCTTTTCGGTGGTTTATTGAAATATATCAGTGATATAAAAACTGGTAATTTCACTGTTTGAAACAGTGAAATTACCACTTTGATAATTTCACTGTTTTTGAATTTAAGCCCCTTACATTGTTTCAGTGAAATACCAGCGTGCACAGAACTGGGTACCAACTTAATGACGTGGCGTCGTAAATGACGTCACGTATTATTATTTGGCGCGCTTTTCATTCAGTATTAGGTTTAATGTCTTTTTAAAACGTTTCTTTGCATATAATAAAAAGAAAATTTGTTTAGTTTAGTGTAAGATAGAAATATATTTCACCTTGTGAACACCAAAAGTTCATATTTCACTCGTGGCTGCGCCACTCGTGAAATATACCTTTTGGTGCTCACTCGGTGAAATATATTCCGATCTTACACTGAACTAAACAAATATATCCTCTATATATGACCTCACTCTACAGAGCACTCTTTTGTCGTTAAATTAATAATACGTGAATGAATTTCACCAGTAAGTTAGACATTGTTCAATAAGTTAAATCTTGTGAAGACTATTATGTCATCACATTTTATGACCAAAATTAAAAGTTTGATATTGTTACTGTAATTTTTTCTTTTTCTAAATGCACAAGCACAAACACACATGAAAAACAGATAACTATATGAGCCGCGTACGTCATGACAAAATCATCTTAATGCGTTTGCGACCAGCATGGATCCAGACCAGCCTGCGCCTCCGCGCAGTCTGATCAGGATCCATGCTGTTCGCTTACCAACTGTATTACAAGAGGAGAAACTAATAGCGAACAGCATGGGTCCTGATCAGACTGCGCGGATGCGCAGGCTGGTCTGGATCCATGCTGGTCGCCAACCCATTATGTTGGTTTTGTCGTGACGCGGCTCATATATGTGTTACAGAATGAAATTCAGACAACGTGTGGGTAATTCAAGACCAAATGAATACACCACTGACATTTATAAGATAACTTAAATATATATTACAGGTCGACACATATTCTTTAAAGACGTTATTTAAAGAGGAATATGAATTCCATATACATGTAATTATATGTGTCTGACTTGTATACATTTGTATATTTTCACTGCACTAAATGGACGAAAAGCTTAACGAAACATAATTATTATTTTTTTTATGTTGAAGGGTTAACAATCGGCGTGTCATGTGCTCTACTGCTGCTGTATCTGACATTAGCCATACTTGTGTATCGACCACGGAGAACTCGTTCACAGGATCCAGCGCCCTCTACATCCGAAGTTATGTAGTCCAGAAAATGTAAAGTTGATTCAATCCTGCAATGACTTGGCCCGGTCTGACAACTCTGACGAACGGTTACAACGTTGTTATAGATCAGGGAAATATAATCAGGCTGGATCGAACTCGTTTTGGCATTAAGGAAGAAAATAAACGCTTGTGTTGATTGAAATCATGAAGGCATTTATTGAAAATGCATTTATAACGTCGCCTTAATAAGTGCAATAACGGCATAAGTCCCTTTGAATTTAATAGCAGTTTGAATCAGTTATTGCACTAAGGTGAAGTGATATTAATAAAAGACTATTGCAGCATCATAGTATCTTAATTTGACGTTTAATCGAATTGGAAGGTTACCAAACCCCGTTGATTTATGTATGTGTTCAAAATCCAGATATTTTTCTAGAATCCGAAAGTTGAGAAACAAATGATCAACAAAAAAGTTTGAAATGCTAAATGTTACATTTTAGAAGTCTGAAAATATTTTACTCTAAATTTAAGAAGTGATTGCGGATAAGTAATCACTCATTTGACAAAAACAGAATAGCAAAATATTTGCTGAAACAAAGCACGTGTACTTATACATTTTGTGTGTTGATTTTTAATCAGAGGTTTACATTTTCAATGTGTTTCAATTGTACGTTATGATTTTTGTTTCAATGACTTTAATAAAATCGCAATATACAAGTCTTGTCGCCATACAAAACTTAGTTAAATGTAAATATTCTTGGAGTGGTGCTAACGTATCGCATTGAAAGTTCCATGATAACCGCCGTATGAATTCTCATGTTTATATATAAATACAAAATGTCACCATTACAAGAAGGAGAAGGATTTCATAAGACAAGTTGGCTTTCATTCTAAACCTGTTTTGTTAAGAATATTTGAAATGCTTTGTATATATTGTAAAATGTAACATGTATATACATGTATATGTTCTGAGAAATAAATTATGTTTAAACTAAATGTTGAATTTTGCTCAAGACGGTGCTAGGGGCGTGGACGGTAACTTGCACTTTCCATTACCTCCGTGATCAGACTCAATCAAACCGAGCCTGCAACATTTTCAATTTTGTCGTTTTGTGCGTTCTTTAGGGATTCCGTTTTTCTCTATTTTAACGTTAATAGTCCATTTTATTTACATTTCTGAGGCTACACAATAAAACAGAAAACTGCAATACTTGATGGGGAAATAATTTACTGGAAGTTTGTAAAATGGTGGACAGATCATGTTTTACATTTTTTAAGAAATAAAATAAATTTTTTCATAGCATGTACTAAATGTATTGTGGGATAATGCTATACACAGGGGATGATGCGCTTAAATCTTACATATTAGTTTTAAAGTGTTCTGTCATATACAATGTACGTAACTAAACTTTGATTGCGGTGGCGTGGTCGAGTGGTTAACGCGTCGGACCTGTAATATAAGGGTCTGACTAGTAACCTAAGGATTACTGGCCGCGAAGGTTCTCACCCCGTCAAGGTCAAACCGTTGTTTCCTTGGGCAAAACACTATATACTCATTGCTTACTACTGGTTGGTTCCAGCAACGGATTCGATAGTATTTCAATATATTGTATACATACCGGTCTCTTAAATATCGACAGTCAGTAAGACCGGTGTACACAATGATTTCAATAAGCTTATTGCTTCCAACACAATCGAACTAAAATAAATCAGTATAAAGTAAAACTTTGAGTATTAGAATAATAATAAAGAAGAAAATCATTACAAAAAACAACACATTTTATCATCGATTATTTTATTTCACACGTAGTGTATATACTTTGGCCAAAATTAACATAAAATAAAAGGTAAAATTATATAAAAAATTAATCTGAAAATGTCATACACTTCATTTCTTAAATTTGCTTTAACATGATTTTATAACACTACAAACAAACAAACAAACAAACAAACAAACAAACAATTATAATAAAAAGTTAGTTTCTGTAATAAGACTGCTTAAACAATCATTCTGTGAACATTGAATCAAGTCCAGATCCTGGTATGTGAAAGCAACACACTGTTTGTTTCAAGCATGCACTCAATGTTATAATGGGTAAATTGCTATAGTAGGCCTTTTGTAATTGGTCGAGTATCGTCTGTTGTTGTAGTTGCTTTTATCAAAATAGTATAGGAGAATTTAGCTAGTCTTGAAGATAGCTTTTCTTGTTTTGTTATCTATAAAATTGTATGTAATACAGTACATTTAACAAATACAGACATTTTAGCCGTGTCATGACAAAACCAACATAGTGCGTTTGCGACCAGCATGGATCCAGACCAGCCTGCGTCGCTATCAGTTTCTTTACTTGTTATAGGGTCTGTATGCGAACAGCATGGATCCTGATCAGACTGCGCGGACGCGCAGGCTGGTCTGGATCCATGCTGGTCGCAAACCCATTATGTTGGTTTTGTCGTGACGCGGCTCATTTTTTTTTAAATTTTATAGTATATTGGCAAGCTTTAGCTTTTTACCCTTTAATGAAATGCAACATTTGTAACGTAACACTTATTTAAACCATTGCCGTGCTAAAACCACCATGAAGTGTTTAATCTTTGCCACTATTATAGAGCCCTACGAGCATGCACATCCATATACAGTCTGACCAGGCTCTATACTGTTGGTATCTCGATTTTTCTTTTAATTCAAATTTTGATATTGGAATCCCTTAAACTTTGAATGCACTGTTCCAAATAAAGTGTTGTACGAGTTCATTACACAATTTCAGTCGGTTAAGGGTTAATGCTGATTATGTGACGTGATGTTTTTCAATAATGAGTAATATGAATAAATGATTATCTTATGATGGCAATGATAATATTACAAATTAAAGACAACAGGAATATAATATTAACAACATCTTCATACAAAAAGCTACATTCGCTTAAATATTATTTGTGAGTAGTATAACTGTGAGTAGATCTTAAAGGGACTCCACTGAGGTTTAAAGGCCTAAAAACATAACATTTGAATTTCTTACATAAATGAGCTGGGGCACTTTAAACAGAAATATATGCAAAGATAGTTAAGAAATATACTTTGAAATAAATTGAAAATCGTATTTTTATGCTTTTCTTAGCCCGATTTGAGTGAAAAGCTTTTAAACGCTTTTCATTTTGGGTCATTTTTTACAATTTGAATAATTATTCTGGAAAAACGAAGTGCGCGAATGATTTGAAATTTTGCACAAAGATTAGTGGTCTAAACCTACATCAAATGGTACATTTATCTGGAAAAAATATTTTCAGTCCCATCATGTCAAAAAACCTCAGTGGAGTCCCTTTAAATATATAACAGCACGGTGATACGAACTGTTAATAAAATTGGCCAGCTTTTCAAATAGATTTTTGATAATTCAATGGAAGGCCCATATCCGATTGTATTGTCAATAATAATACATAATGAAGACAAATGTAGTAAAAACGAAATGAGTAGGAACGTATATGGTGTAAGCCAGTTAACTGTAGATTTGAATGATTCTATAAACTTAATATATTAAATATATCTAAATACATTAATGTACTTAAGGCATACAGTGTCTATTTTAATACAAATTATCGAAAAAATTATTATTACCATAATTCACATTATATTATTGGCAGAGATAGACAATATTGTTGTGTATCTAAATATGACACTTATATATAAGACCTTGAAACAATTAGTTTAAACATATTTTATTTCGAACATTTTACACATACAAGATTTACATACAATGGTGAAATAATACTATACAATGCTGAAAAAGGATTAGATCCGAAAGCATAAAATGCTTATAAAGGCCTTTTCCTGACATAAGATTAGTTACAAAAAATATGACGGGTTTTGAAAATGTTTGAAATATTGAAGTTTAGGTAAAAAGTTATTGATTATAAAAATGAAGAAGATTCGTTACTGTCGTCACTTAGTCAAATTAGCGACCTAGAAACAAAAAGGAGCGTTGAGTAGAAGTTTCTATCTGAAAGATGTATGAATAGGAACTTAATAGATTAAACGCAATAATTGTCTGTTTATAAATGTATAAAGTTTAGAATTTCATAATTTAAGATACACAAAGAAACTTAATTTAATAAGTAAGAAAAGAGGAGGATCTATTCGGTGAGTAAATTGGAGGAGCAATGTATCATAGACTATGAAAATCGTTTGCTGTCTCGGATAAATATTTGAACTGCCTGAAATATGCTGATATTGATATCGTCACTTAAGTTTGTATCGCCGTTAAGCAGTGTGTGAAGAGTGACATTACAGTAGGCTGAAAGAGTTTGGAAAAGGCTGTGTCTGATAGTACTGTATTGTTTGCATTCAAAGAAAAAATGATGGTTAGTTTCTACCAATCCACATTGACATAAAGGTGAGTTAACAATATTTTTTCTGTATAAATGGTAGTTTAAAGAACTGCACTCTGTTCGTAGACGTGCATGATATATTTGCCATTTTCGAACACCTGTATAGAAATATTTTGGACATTTTATTATGTTTCTATTCAAAAGACATTTAAAAGCAGATAATGTAGGTGCATTTTGTACATCAATTGGTAGTTCATTCCATTCTCTGAGAGCTGAAGGAAGAAAAGCGTTATAGTATAAAGATGTTTTTGTATGAATGCCTTGTATATCGTTCGAATTTCTTAAATTATAACGTGTGGTTTCACCTACAGACGGAGGGACAATAGTTGATAGATAGACAGGTGAGAGTCCATTTTTCATCTTATAAAGAAGAATCAATTTATGTTTCCTTCTTCTGCTGTCCAGAGGTTCCCACGGGACCTCTCGTTGAAGCTCATGAAGAGACACAAGTTTAGTAGCACCAGATACAATTCTAGAAGCTTCATGTTGGATTTTATCTAGTTCAGCTTTTTCATATTGAGTACAATTGATGTAAACAACATCGGCATATTCTATAATTGGCCTGATGTAGGATAAGTAGATTATTTCTAAAGATTTTCGATCAAGTTGAAATTTTAATTTGCGCATTATATGTATACGTTTCCATGCCCTCTCCTTAACATGATTAATGTGAATATGCCAGGAACCATCGTCAGAAAAGTGTAAGCCTAAGTGTTTGTGAGATGTCACTGAAGATATGGTCTGGTTTTGCATTAGGAGGGTTGGATGGAACT